GATTATTGCTGCGATGTAAGTTTAGGAGCAATCGCATGAGAATTAATAATTTAACTTTGTTTTAGCAAACAATTTAATGAAAGACTGAGAGCTTGCTGACTGCTTTTAGTTGTTCGCCATTCAAATACCCTCATGCAAGCACTTGGTGGACTTTATAAGGCTTCCTATTTAGAAAAAACATATCGGAAGAGTAACGCTATCAAACCTGACTACAGATGCATTTATTGATAAGAGTTCGACAATGATCTAAAGTAACCTCAGGTTGGCCATTTACGTATGTCCTAGACAAATGCTATATTTCAAATTTACATAAATTGGATAGAAGACAAGTGTTCTTTTAAAAAAAAGGCATGACAAACTGTAAGATTTCCCTAAACTGTGGTTCCGATATTTTTGATAGAACAGAATCACGGCCTTCCTAAGTGCCTTTTTGAAATATATGACATGGTCGGATGAATTTAGGCTGCCACAGAGAGCTTCATTTTCAGGAAGGACGAAAGATTGGGTATTTGGGGCAGCAATAAGCGTAAATACACGTAAACCTATCCTTACGGGTGAACGCGCTACCCAGAACTGCCAGAGGTATAATGATTTCTATTTAAACACCAAATCATAAACTTCCCAAGGGAAAACTGATAATGTGGTAACGTGATCGCGGACACTTCACTGAACAGAATACCACTCTATCCCTTATGACTCCTTAGTGCCGGTTTTCGATACAGAGGAGATTTCGACCTAGTTGCAGACATTGGATACGAGCCGACATTCCCCGAAGATCCCAGAAGTTAGAATGCAGAGAGTGCTGTCTAATGGTTTCGCCTAGGATCGTTTTCAATAATTGCTTGACTAAACAATATATCGGCCAACAGTGTATTTGGTCTGTTGATCACTGCGAACTGGGACCTTCTTTTTCTACAGAGAAAATGTCCTTTTTAGGTAACTTCACTAGGTGCTGTAATTAGCAATCATTCTTTTACATTTCCTACGTTTGCCTAACCGAGCCCACTTAATTGAATCGACCTCTGCAGTGCTCCGCGATGGTGCGCCCTATTCAGAGATGTCATATGTACAATGATATGGCATATTAGAAGAATCAGCTGTGGCCCCTACAACCATGCCTATGAGCATTCATTAATATCAGTCTACAAGATCTGAACCCATAATCAATGGTGACGAGTTTTGCTCGATGAATAATTGCTTTGGAAACAAAATTTCGATGCAGCAACATATCAAGTCGGAGTATCGCTGACTGGTGATTGTAATTTCGGCAGTCCCCGCTCTGTTAGCAATACTAATCAGTCATCGGTGGATGTTATGCGACCACCTACGCAAACATAGAACTGTATCACAAAGGCGGACCAGAAGCAGTTCATATCCCGCTCTGTAACTGGGACAGCCCGAGTATTTAAACATAAATGCGCAAATAATTCTACATAGAACAAATGCCCCTTATAATTGTCCACGCTGTTGTAGAGCCTAACGATTGTTTTCATTGCAATTGCTGATCTGAAGGTGTCCACGGTATAGGGATGGGCCCCACTTAACTGCCAGTAGACCGTGGGCCGTGTCATATGGGATTTTATCTTGTCATGCATTTGCATGCCGTTGCAGAAATTACACTGCCAAAAACGGTTACTTCTCACGACTTCACACCCTAACTCAAAATCCGTCATCCTATGAAATTTACTTTTTGTTTATATATTAATTACTACTCCCATTTCCGTTGGCGTACAATAGCGCAGGATAAGACTTTTGGCATAAATTCGGGCAATTTCTGTGTTTTATTTCATTTGGTTAGCTTACTGTCTAGCGAGCTACCCCACCCATAAAACTCCCGTTACCATAAATCACGTATGGCATGATACACGGTCTACTGACAGTTAAGCGGGGTCTTCCTATATACCGTTGCCCTGAAAACCTCTAACAATAGTGTAAATAAGTCAAAAGTATGATTTTTAGCTTCGAAAGTTTTACTAATACCTGAGCTTTAATTGACACAAATCAATCCCCTGGCAGCGTTATCTATTTCATACTGAGATGTTTGCATTGTGCAGCTTAATGGAGGTAGCTGCGAATTTACCCGCTGCAATCAACCTGGAAGATATTCAGAAGTACTGGTTTGTTAATGGCCAAAAATAGGAAGGGTAGCTCTCTGGGCGTTGGATTTCTTCTAACTACACAGTCAAATTCAGATTAAACAGGAAAACCGTTCAGAGATAGCAAATGGAACAATGCATCATATTTAAAGCTCAAGATGTAAAACTTTCAAGCCCTATCTTAACATTGTTAATCGTTGGCTGCCATATTAAATTATGTTCTTTATATTGAGTAAAGCAGTACGCAGGACCGTTCTCTGTTGAAAATATCCCGTCGGCTATTTCAAAGTTGCTCAATTTTAAACACCCGGAGCATATTTCTGAGATTCCTTTTGATATCTGATTGCGGGTGTAAGCATTGAAGAGTGCAGCAAGCCTTTTATTTTGGGCACATAGGAAACAGATAAGGTAGAATTGTCGGCAAAATTATCTACTCTCAAAACAAATTTGAACGTACTCTGAAATATGCTTTTTTCTGAAGGAAGTGGAAAAGTAACTTTCCGTTAAATCCCCAAGAAATCCTTTTATGAATGTCGAAAAATTAGGCTATAAAACAGACTTCTTCGACCTTCCCTTTTATTTTAATTTTCAGCTGGATGGCATTCAAAAAGTACCGTAAGTATTCAATTCATCTCAACCTAAATCACACTATTCGTCATGCCATGAACTGTGATGGACACATTACTCACAACTTAAAGACTTACAGTACGTGACCTATCTCATCCAACCTAACGACAGAACTAATGTGATGATTTTCAGGCGTCTTAAACGTTGCGCATCTTGCTTGCGCATCCAGCCTCCTTAAGGAACTGTCCTCTTCTTGTGCAGAAATTGTGTCCACGCAGTTTCGTTAAGCAAACTTTTCATAAAATTAAGCGAAATGATCCTCGTGATATACTCGGCAATTTTCTATGGTAATACTTGTCCTTGACTTTAGTTGTGCATCTGAGTGGGTTTTTCTTTGAAAGCAGAGTAATTTATTTGCGAGAGTTTTAATAAACGGATGTTGCCGGACTAGAAAATTTATTTTTGTCTGATGTTAATCGGGCATCAATTTAAAAGGAGAACCAGAGGTTTTATCCATCTTTAGAAGTCATATTAGCATATCTGTGCGATATGGTGTCCTGAAGTGCGGTAATAATGCACGCAGGTGCTCCCTTGTTTGAATGGGCTGAAACTGTTTTACCGTCAAGCTTCTGCACCTACCTAATTCACAAATGGAACGAACAATATATTATTAGCTTTAGCAAAATATCAGTATTTTTATGGTCACACTGCGCGCATTCAAAATCATAAAAAGGAGTTTAAAGGTGAGCAAAACCAGTGGAAATGGCCGCAATATAGAGAGGAAGACACGTTCTTACGTCTACGGTAGAAAAATGTGGGCGTTATTTATGCATGTGAAAGAAATAGCCAAAAGGGCCAAATTTTTCTCGGCCTCACCGTGTAAAAGTTCAAAGTACACAAAGATCCGTCAACGGAGTGCAGCATTAAAGCATCCCTTAAGTTGGCTTACTAAAGAAAGTTTTCTAATTGATCGAAGGCATTTTTGTTGCTGACTTTCGTTGTGGACGTTTATTTTCTTTGACGATGAGCTGTCATGTTTGGGTAAATCTTCACCTGTGACCCAAACGACCTTCTTAGGAAAAAGAACGCCGAAGCACTCGTTACTTCGGTAAGTGACTCCAAGAAGTATCTTATTTTAGAGCTTTTAACATATACATAATACAGAATCTGCCTTTATGGGCGATCTGGAAAACACGGAAAATTACAAAATATTCAGCAAGATTTCAAGGCCGATCTGAAACTCAGCGTAATCCAGAACAAACGAAAAGTGTGAATCAATTTAACGGAAGAAAATTTCTTTTTATAAGCACAAAATGGTATTTCTACGATTACGACTCTGAATTCTATTCAAATTTTTAAGTCACAAATCGGGCCGGCAGCATGCGCCCTTATGAAAACTTTTATTTCTACGACGTTCCCGCCGATGAAATTAAAGAAAATCCTGTTTCTGTCGTTGACCAGCACCTCAATCACTTTAGGAGCGCAAAGGATACCACGAATCCTCGGGAAACTGTTTTGGAATCTATATTCGGAATGTAGGCTGCTGGCAAACCGCCGCATTTGAAATTACACTAATTCCCAAAGGATATCTAGATGAAAATTTCACTTGAACATTTTTTTACTGTTATTCTATTCATGCTTTCATATTTACGCAGTTTTTGCGTAAGAAGACATTATATTTATCTACAAGACGAATTTTACTAAGTTGCAACCATTTTTGACGTTTTCGGGAGTTTGCGCTTCTCTAAAAATGGCATTTCTTAGCAATTCAACACTGCCCTTAATATTTCTTTTATGTTTTTCATTCTCCTAAAGTTGCTCTCTATTAACATAGACGCTGGGTACACGCATTAATGTCGGTTTGCAAGTGATTGGCAATCATTCGTAAATTTTGACACCTTTTGTGATTTAGGTCGTCCACTGCACATTACTAATCCGACGGTATCAGTGATGTAGGCTGGCTCGAGTGAAAACAACAGAAAAGTCTAGGAAGTATATTAAATTGATATTCAGAAAATCATCCACCTGATCTCCAAGCCCGTGTGGGGGCACATGTCTGCCTTCAGCGTTGTGTCGGTTGCGGTTAAACAACCGGCGCATTTAAATAAGAGTCAACAGACTGTCGACGGCAAGAGTTATTGCGGGACATCGACACAGTACCACCCTCTGAGACCGGTGGGTGGCATGAAACACGACGCCGAAGGACATAAGCAGGTCTAAGAAATACGAGTATCGAGACGATCAATTAACTGAATGCTACGCCCGCAGAGAAAAGTGTGTATATTGTAAAGTTGCAGTTGGAGTCAGTGAGGGACAGGAAGCAGGCGACATGGAGAGCTAGAGGATAGGGAGGGATGTAGCAGTGAGATAGAGACTACAGGGCTCGTCCGGAGGAATGGCCGAAAGAGCAGTTTTGATGCGGTCCACGCCCACGTTATCCCCGAAAGTTCTGCGCTGCAAGCGGAATGTCTTCGTCTCTAGAGAGACAACATAGAAGGGTGGCCTCAATGACCGTTCGAAGGGAGGCATGTCACCGAGGCTTACTCGAAGCAGGACTTGGAGACTGAGTAGGACTAGAGAGAGTGCCTGCGTGAACTGCCGGAGATGGCGTAGGAGGTCGGTTGGATCCCCGATCGCACAACGAGGGGCTGGAAAGTTAATCTGACCAGGAAGTCGAAGACTGGCGCTGAACATTAGTTTAGCGGCGGAACAGGCAAGGTCCAACTTTAGGGGCGAGAAGATGCCCAACAGAATCAGGAGAAAATTACCCGTCCGTTTTGCCGGATCACCAGCGATGAGTAGGGAGGTCGTTAGATGGCAGTAAGACCGCTCAACCATTCGATCGGCAACTGGGTAATAGGCTTTCCAGAGGATGCGAATACGGCCTAAAATGGAGAGGAGAAACTGGAAAATGTGGAAATTCAATCGGGAACAGCGGTCAACCATGGTGCTCTAGGGGAGTCAAAGATGGCAAACCAACAACTAAGAAAGGTCTTGACCACCGTCACAGCCTCGGCATCGGGCAGTTAGATGGACTTCGATCTGCGAATTGGGCAATTCACACAAGAGAGAAAATAGGAGCGAACATTTGATGACAGAGGCAGGAACCTAGAATGTCCAGACAGACGTGGCTGATCCTTGTAACAGGGATAGGAAAATGCCGATAGGGACCTTTCTCTGTCGCTAAACCTCACTTCGCTGACAGCCGTTACACACCGGTGTCCACACTGAAATTAGGGCAGGTGAGGCATGCGTACTCGGAGGGTGCTCCCGAAATGTACTATCCGGGTCAGGGTCTAGGACGACCAGTTGACGGGAATCCTCAGGGGAGGGGATACCTTCGATAGTGAAATTTGTGTAGACGGGACAGCCAGAAGTTGATCATAAGATAGAGGATGGCAAGTATATCTGCATGAAGAGTGACACGGATCTTCAGCAGCGACAAAGACGCAGGGAAAAACATACCGGAGGCCGATGTTTGGAGAGAGAGAGAGAAAGCAGGTACCGAAGGTGGTGGTCGGGAACCTGGTAACGACCTGAAGGAAGAGGCAGGAGTTCGGGTACGGACGATGGTTTGCTGTGAGAAAGATCATAAACCGTGGTGACCAGAAGAGATCTGTCACAGAGATGGTGCGACCAGCGCCACGGAGGCCAATGAACTTGACTTAACTTACGTTCCAGCCGTGGGACTTCCTTGCGAGAGCTTAAGAAAGCAGACCGGGATACGGCGCCGGGCCTTATCACCGTAGTTAACATCGGAAAAACAGAGATTATCAGTCTTCCGGCTAGTGGGAGAAAGGAGACAATTTCGGCTTGAGGTAAGTCAAGATGGGATAACAGAGCCATGTGGATGCAGAGTGGCAAGAGATGCCGATAGTCAGGCTATCAATGCAGGCAGGCTTTCGAACGACATGTCTTTGAAGAACCCATCGTCGATGGTCTTCTCCCCCAGAACGAAACGTTTACGGTAAAGGTGCTTAGAAGGCTTGCGATCGCAAAAGTCTCTTCTATTACCGGTGCGTAGTACAGTTGGCAATCCAGAACTTAGGTAAGTTGGAGAAGTCCGGCTTTTGGCTTGGTATAAAGAGCATCAGTGGAGGGGTCGTGAAACTATTTCGAACTTGATAAAGAGTATCAGGGGAAGCTCCCCAATCAATTTATCAGAGTTGACTAACATTTGTCTTGTGGCTGCAGAATAAAGTTCTGGTGCATGTTTTCACGATTCTGGAAGAGAATTAGCAGCGCCAGTAGAATTCGCAGAGGACATTGTTCGAGGACAAAAGTAAAAAGAGAGGAGAGAACACAATAGCCGAGCATTAGTCAGAAGTTAAATGTCACAAGCGTGTATATCGAAAGATCACCACAGTTGTGATGTGACCGCAGTATTCACGACTTAACGACTCATGCTACTAATGAAATGCCATCAGCGATGTGTGCTATGCCGAGTAAGAACGGCAGAAAAGGCCAGTCAGTGTATAAAATTAGTATTCAGAAAACCAACCACCCGTTCTTCAAGCCCATATAAAAAGCTCCTGTCTGTCTTTTGCACTGTGTCGGTTGCACTTAATCAAACAGCGCAGCTAAACAAGAGTAAACAGTCTGTTAAAGAGAAAAGTTAGTGTGTAACCTCGGTACGGCTACATTCATCAGACGGTCTAAAGATTTCCAGAAAATGATAGGAGTCACATTCAATTTGTTTTGTTGCTCTACGTGAACACTGCAAGATGATATTCTGAAGGTGTTGCCTATTAACAGAAGTCATCGTACGAGTATACAAAGGTCATACGGCCCTATGTTTTCATTCTGCACAATCGGGAGCAGAATACGTGAGCGCATTTAAGCAACCTTTCAACCCCCAAGTAAGAACCTCTGACTTTAATGCGTTTTTTTCTTAGTTTGTGCGGTAAGCATGTACTACGTAATCTTTGGCGTCAAAAATTTCATGAGACATAGACTAATAAAACAAGAGACAAAAGCATCAATACTAAATTCTGAACGTCCTAAAATTCCAGAGGTAGTGGAAAAGTGGCCGAGCTCAGCAATTGTCAATTTCCAATTTTTCGTTGCTCGGGGTTTTATCTTTTTTAGTCATTAGTTCATTCAGATAAACCTTTTCTTTCAACTCAGCTGCTGTTGCGAATGCAAGATCCTAAAATTGTTTTTGGAAGGTGTTACGGCTTTAAACAGTGAAAAGGAGTTAGCATGACACCAAGATTTCTTTCCAAGTATTCCAGCTTGCGAATAGGATTTCAGCGGCTTTTTTGATTGAATGTCGGGCATGTGTTATGCCATTGTATCAAAACTTTTCTAGATTAACGATACTATAAATTCAGCTTCGCATGCCATAAATGGTATATCATAATGTCTTATGTTAACTTGAACAGTGTCCACTTCGCACGGGAGGCGTTTGATTTCAGAATTTGCTATTTGATTTTAATGAAACTCAGAAGTGCACTCGCGCCCGATTCAGAGCCCCATAAATTTATTACGAATATGATTAGAGTCGGAGACTATGTCGCCTACTTTAGAGCAAGATTCACAAGAACTTTAGCTTAACAAACATTTGGGCGACCTAAAATTCTAACATGGAATGCTTCTTTTTACTTTTATAATTATCTGAATGCGACTTAATTAATTAAAAAATAACATCCCTAACGGAGCATCCTTCTAATAACAACGCGTGCACTGAAAGTCTCTTTAATAATTAACTGACTTCACGGAGCTACCTAACCTAAACTTTGTCCTATTCGGAAGAGCGCACAATAATAGTACAAAATTTACCATGGCATCGCGACTGAAACTTTTGGGTGTGTTTGGGAAACATCAAACAATTTAAAAGAGCAACATGGATTTTAAATCTGAAAAACGCAGTTAATTCCGCTTTTCAGTCATACTTTAAAATTATCTACTATGTACTCCTTTATTAGCCTCAAAAAAAAACAATACTACGAATAAAACGTTTGTCAAAATATTTTGGAAATTTTACCTCCGCGGTACGAATTTGAAAAACTGTAGTTATGACGTTGCTAGTTAATACCTTCTACTGTCCCAGGCCTGATAACAGACCTCAGGAAGAAGTGCTTGATCAACAAGACAATCACTGAAAATACCGATTAACGTATCGATTATGTGGTCAGTTTTTTCAAACTGAAGTCACTCGTGTCAAGTACACGTAAATCTTCTAGACAATTCCCCGTCAAAATCTTTTACACAAAAAGCCATTTGTAATTTTTCGTGTTCTTGGCAGTACAATTTCTGCAATGGTGGTGCCGCATATAAGTCAGACGGCGCAAACCAAAATATGACCTCTAATGCATCTTTAAAGCAAAGTTTTGTCTGTGAACGCCTGCTGGTCCCACTTTGCGGATCAAAGTTAGACTTGTCGTCGGATTTTACGACTGGTATTTGAGCATCCTTCACGCGACGGCAAGACATACAGTAAGGATCTATCACTACCTAAGGACAGCGTAAACTTGCATCCCTTTAGAAAATAACGTTTACTTCATAAAAAACGTCGTCTAAACAATCCAAAAATTTGGGACTTGTGCTAAATAGCATATAAGCTCTGAAACAAAAACCTTTGGTTCAGTCGTTCAAATGTATAAAGTTCCGCCACTGCGCTCACATAACTGTGTCAGGCACAAAATGGTCGTCAATGACGCGTATCGTCCCTTGAGTTCAGATTCTTAATTCGAAGCCTTCTAGACCGTAAACGAACAAATCGGCCACTATTTTTTATCTTTTCTGGCGTTTCCTCGTGATTTCTTAACTTGGTTTTTGATTTTGTCATGACTTGACTGCCTGCAAAAATTTGTCTTGGACGATATTTATACTTTTGAAAAAACCTTTAATGAAAATAGGAATAAGTCTTACGTACCCGCATTTTTCAAGGTGCGATTAACTATAGCAAATGAGCGACTAAGTGCACAAGGACGTCGTAAAAAATAAAACGTTTCATGAGGGCGCATGTTGAGAGGTCGGACCCTAGCAGACATTAAAACATAATTAAAAGACGCGGACGCAGACGTTGTGTGTTTCGTGTCTCAGGAGAAATCTTCCTTACAATCACTGTGAGCTTTCTGGCGGCAGATTTGTTTGAAAAAGTAGTCATTTTGGAAAATAACTTACTTATTCATGCTTTTTCTTGCCTAGTTATTGCGGACTGAAAGCTCAAGCTTCAAGTTGCTGAGGGTTGTTTTCGTAACCATTTTTCGTTTTGCTTATTACTGTAAAATCAAGAGACAAGAACGATGTGCTGTTGTGCGCAAAATAAATATTAATGCCGACAACCGCCTAACAATAAAATTCATTTTCATTCAAACGCCTAAACTTTTTCATTCATAAAATAACTTATGAACAGTCTGTACATAATAATTTGGTCTTTTTATCAGCATATTACGTCAGCAAGAAAAAGGACTAGAGGTAGAGCTCCTTCCAGACAAATTGTTTTGTTTTCTGTCATCACATCTAACCAAGTTGGTCAATTTCGGTTCTTAAATTTGTATGTCGAACTAAGCGTGATTCCATATTGGATGACTCAGTTTATGGGTATTGGAAACATTGACATTGAAGAGAGTTTTGTAGGTCGGTTTTGATTTTCCATAAAGCCCTGTTTAATTTACGGACTTCATTCTAGTTAAAGAATTGACCTAAATTATAGTACAAGTTAAATTAACAGTGGTCTGATCTGATACATATAGTGGAAAGGAACACATGTTATAGTTAGTATCACATAAATCTTTATCAAGTTTATAGTTAAAAAAGTGTGGCTTGTTTTACTTTGAACACAGAAACATGAACCCCCCTATTGCAGGTGCTTTTGAGTTAAATATCTGTGGGAAATGGTTTGGAAAATTAGGATAAGGGTGAGGATCCATGACAAAATAAAGGTCAAAGTTAGAACACGGAGCTGGGTTTTCTATGGAATTTGGGACAAAATGACCTGTGACTCGTATCTAGTCGAATTTTATTTTCAAAGTCTAAAGATTCCATTATTTGGGAGCGACTGCATACCACTCTAAATGAGAACTTTGGTGGAATAAAATGGTGTGAAAAATCCGCCATGTTTACCTTCAGTGTTAAGGAAAAATCGATTTAAACTGTAGGCCCAAATGCTACATTTGGCTGCAATCAGTTAAACAAAAAGGGGCTAAAAAATAAGCCAAAAGTGGCTTTTTTATAAATAAGTAAGAGAAAACGCGCATCATCCTTTTTTCTGATCTCGTCAAAATAAAATTTTAAATTTGTCTGGCATGCCAATCATGGAATATGTTTTTATAATTAATAGCACTTGGTTTTAAATTCTTAATAATCGGACCATATAACAGTTCATAGCATCGGTTTCAGCATGCATTTATGAACAGGATTTCCCTATCAAACTCAGTAGAAAAAGTAGACGCCTGTCTTCACTTAACTTTAAAACACGAAATGCCATTCTGACTGGTTTTTCAGGATTCCAGTAACGCCGTAGTTTAAATAACCTTGCAAAATCTTTGGCCATTTCAAAAGTTCTTTCGAGATTTTATCATATTCTAGCATATCTTTTACGTATCATACCATTTACAGAATTAATCAGTTGTGTATTTCTTTATTGTCTACACTCTCCGCCCGAGCTCAACCACTTGTTAACTATGCCGTCTATAAAACCGCGGTTTTGTTACAAAGGAGTCATCGATCAAGTTTTGAATATCTGCGTCGTTACTGACGAATACTCTGCGAAATTGTTTTTGTGTCACTAAAAAGACAGTGTTCCTATACAAAAGGGCCGGGAAATATGACGAATGCAAAAAATACTTTAAGGCCAGGCCTTTCAATGTCATTTTTAGTGAATACTGCGACGTGGGGCTGGGGTTGCTATGCTTCATAATGACATCATTTTGATATCCAGGGCGATTTTTTGAATCGCTTCATCTAGACGGCAAAGCTTTTGACTTGTGAAGCTCTGCATTAATGGTCTGATCACCTACAAGACATTCATAATAAATAACGTTCTCCACATCCCATCTGGCACATCATCCTCTAGCAAGGAGGAACATAAGGTTTTGTTTGTGATGCTGCTTGCTTGTTGGGAATTAGACACTCTTTATTTTTTCATATTCACGTATAGGCGCCATTATTTATCACCAGTATTAATAGGCTTTAAAAACGGCTTACGTCTATGACGAACGAGGCGATGTTTGGCCAATAGTGAGCCAAAGGCAAACTCAAATAAAGCAGATGTCGGAAACGTTTATTTTTTGTTGGCCTAACACTTCATTTTCTTCGAGTTGAAAATAGTCAAAAGCAAATTCAAGTTGAAAATTATGGAAATGTTCTGCAAATGCTTAACTAGGGGAACAAGTGGACAAGTGCAAAGAGATGTGTGGCTTCGAATGCCAGAGGGCTAAAATTGCAAGACAACAGAGTAGGAAAATGCAAATAGAAAGAGGACCCGCCATCATACCAGGCCTCTTAAAGGCCTTGAGCCGGATGGATATTCCCCCTTCTTCTTAAGTTGATAACACATGAACCTCTAGGGTTCCACTGTCCTCCCATGTTTTATTTGACACTGACTCTTTTCGAATGCTTAAATTTGAAAATCGAGATTATTTTCTTAAAAACGATTTGTTTATCCCATTTCTTTTGCCAGAAGTAACTAAGGTTCCTTACCCAGGGAGTTGACGGACGCCATTGTCAAAGTCATCCTTTCATTGGTTGACGTCTCTGACCAATCCACATCAAGTTTAAAGCGCGATCAAACAGCCGGCTGATCGCGGTTTTATGCACGACTTTGCGACAGGCGAGGCAAAATGAGAGGTTAACATCAAATCCAGATACCGACTCTTTGCTGCACAAATGTCCTCATCTTCTATTCGACACCCCCTCATAGAGAAAATATCATAGCAGCTCCTATCAAAATAATTAACAGTGTCGTTTATTCCTCCCCTACATTTCTCCATGGACGCAGCAATCCTTGACGGAATTTCGCATATTGGCTCCTCTGTGGGTTCGGAAAAGAAATGCCCCGACGATGATTTTGTCGACCGGGCGAACCACACGTACACTATGAATCTTCTCATGTTCTTCATTGCTGTCGTGCTGTCTCGTCAGCTGGTCGGAAAACCGATCAGCTGCTGGATTCCCAATGACTTTACAGGCGCCCAGGGTGAATACGCCGAAACTGTGTGTTGGGTGACTTCAACGTACTTTATCGCGCCTACACAAGCAACCGTACCGATACAAAAGGATCTTCGCTACGAGAAGACGATTTATTACTACCAATGGGTTCCCTTTATTCTCATGGTTCAAGCAGCTCTCTTCGTTTTCCCCTGCATTATCTGGCGCCTCTTCAACTCTCACACACGAATTAATGTAAGTTTAACAAGGAAAACATACTCATCATGTTCAAGATATTTGGGCAAACCAAGGTAATTGCCCATTCCTAAACTAGTAGCTATGTCTGCGTTTATTAAAACATATAAACTTTCAAAGGCGGCACCACCTAATCATCTTGTGAGTACAGTTACATAGACGATATTTCATAAGTTCAGAGACTGAAATGTCTAGCCATTATCTTTAACATACCTCCTTCTGTATGTAATTAGGATGTTTGATCATCAGTGTTTGGAAAAACTGGTTCGGCCACATAAGCGAAAATGTAAAAATAACCCAGCTCGGTGTAAGCTCAACATGTTAATTAAGTTTGCTGTTACACACATTTTTCCAGAAATATCGTAATTCCCCGCATGATTTTTCTAAGGAATTGATTCCGATTTAAAATCCATCAGAAAATTTTCATACATTGTAATCCGGGGAACCTGCAGTAATTTGCGACTGTCAAGTGCAACAAAATGGTAGTTTAAAAGCAACTTGAGATACAAGTTAACAAGGAGAAATGAGAGATTTTAACTGCAATATAGTGCACTTGAAGGTGAATCTATTAGATTATTGGATTTCACACCACAATATTTTGGGTTTATAGCAGAAATGGAGTGCAGGTGCTTCTCCGTCACAAGTGATCGCCAGTGTGCACATCAAACGTGGCAGGTGACACCTGCTGGGCATCCGCTTATTTAGTACCCGGGAATTCTATGCTGGATATCACCTATAAAGCACTATAAATATCGCCAGTAAATTTATGCACTTACTAGGCTTATTACGTAACTGAGATTTTACGCTCAACATTTCAAGCATGCTTTTGAGGACTCGTGTACGCATAGGGGTTCGTAGGCTTGTTCCCAATTTTGCAGATTTAGCCTTACATAATGCCAACGAGTTTCTAATTCTCCAAATTACCATAAAACTGTGTAAGTCTAAGTGTTGTTCAAATGTATACGTTGAAACTCAGATTGCATTAAGTATTCACAAAAAGGTCTTATCTAAATTACCAATAAAACTTGCCTTGCTCACCCCTTTGTTAAATCGTTTAAAGAAAGAAAATTAGCAACTAATTCGCCACACGCTAAGTAATTGGGGTCGGATCTCATTTTATGCAAACAAATCTGCTTTATTTTCTTATCCAGTAGCGTAAATGTGTAAAACGGCGAGCTTTAATGAGAATATTTGTACATCCTTATAAAGCCTAGAATAACATTGGCGCTCCGCCTAAACGAAGGCATTTTTGGTCTCCATTTCCTCTTTACTACAAATTTCAAACTCATTAAAATATATAGGTGAACCAAAGGAAATAGAACGAATCGTATGTCTGAGTCAGTTGCGTTTGTCCGGCAAATTAAATCAGAACTACTTAAATGGGGAGGTTACCTTGGTTTTGTGAATTCAAAATCAAGTTTCTCTAATCAGAATGTCCTTTAAATTGATAATAAATGAATACTTCTCTAGTATTGCACAGCTAAAAATATCACGAAGGCAAATTGTAAAATAATACACCATCCAAGAAATATATACTTTCTGTCTAACAAGTTCGCAATGATATTGAGTTTCCAAACAACCTACTGTTTATAGTCACCCACGTGCTTCCACACGCAGTTGCTTTAGGAAGGTTTTTATTATCACTTTTGCAAAATTGCAAGCGTTCATTATTTTTTAGATTGTAACACTCATGGTCTAACTTTCAAGTATGTAAATTGGTCATGATATCAGCAACTTTTAGAATTTTAAAATGATTTTTGCCTTTAACGTTGGAAGTCAATTTCAGTTTATTTGACTAATCTTTCTAAGCATTGGACTTTATTTTAGAGAAATGAATTAAACCAAGTCCTCGGATTACTAGAGGAGATGATACTGTGCACGGTTTGCATTCTCTCCAAAAGAGACAAGTCCGATATCAAGTACTTTTCTCGGCCAAACTTGTATAGTAGTAGAAACAAAGACGGATAAACTCGAGTGTCGCTCAGAAAGACTGAAGAGAACGAGAGTTTCATTATACTTTAGAACACGTGCATAGGAATGGGCACCAGAATTGCCGCAGTGTCAGCTAGCATAGGCCAATAGTCGCCCAATTTCAGTTCTGCAGTGGAACTCATTATATTTTGACGGTATGAAAACCCGTTATTGAGTATCTCTCAAGGACATTTTTCGTTGAAAGCAAAGGAACATTTAGGCGGAAAAAATAACATTATCGCCATTTGATAAATAATTAGCGCTCAGTACAATAGCTTTATATGGGAATTTCCTTCGTTTGATGGTTTTTACAAAACATGTCTTAAGACCTTATTCAGATATAAAATTATAAGCTTTGCTTTTCCATTTGACTTCGGTTTTTCACTTTTCTTGTGACCTCACAATAAACCCTAACGGGAATTTGTCCGGCCTTTCTGCCTACCTTGCTGCGACTTCAGCAAACCCGTACACATCTACACTCTGAAACTAGGTTTTGTGATTAGTATGGCTACAGATTAATTGATAAAATACCCGCATGTTTGTTGGAAGAGTGCTGTAAAGTAACGCTGTTTGCCTTTAATCCGTAAATTTCCAAAAGTGTCAAACGCTTTTTGCTCTCCTTTGAGACTTTTGTCATGTCGATGGCATGAGTCTCTCGCGTGTCAACCATTCTGTTTTACGTGAGATTCCAGGCAGGGCGACGTGCGTGACCTTGCTGAAATTTGTCATTTACATGCGTTACGTGAATTTTCTTGTGTATACAGCTTAATTCCAGAAAAAGCCGACTCTTTCTCCCGAAGTATATTTCGTGTTCGCAATTTACATATTCCTGTTTGCGATCTAGGTTATGGTAGCAGAGTCTATCGCAAGACTCCGCTTACTACCCCTTCCGCGAGTTTGTGATAGGATGTTGCTTTAATTTTTTGTTGGAGTAGCTATAAAAGAACATTGTTATTTTCCGCGACCTATCTTATTTCTAATTATTTAATCATGTGCCTACTGAAAGGAACATCCATTATCGAGAAGACCTATATTTGACAAGGTTGTTATGCACAGAACATAGGCAACAATGCGCTTAGATACCACTCAAGGAATAAAAAGACGTAGTCGGACGGTAGAAATCCCAATTTAAGAGGTTAGTCTAATGTTAGATGAAGACACAGTGGCTTACTAACTATTTTTAGGAGAGGAAGATGCAGACTGATTCTTCCGACAAGGCAATTGTTTTTTATTCCAACTTTAATATCCAACCGTGAAAATACAATGCAGACGTGGTGGGATCTGAATCCTCGACCGCAAAAAGAAGGCTTTGGTCCAATTGACGTTCTAGTCACCTGAGCTTTGGGTATATAGAGTAGATGTGCTAACTCATGAAATGTCAACCACAATTTCGAAATTTGTTCTCGTTTCGAAAAGATAAATTAAGTAGTGTTGTAAAGCTAATCATGATGCAGCATAAATCTGTAATGATCCAGTTACCTCAGGGTGTCGGCTTTCAAAAGAACTTATTTTCGGCTGCATGCAAGATCTACACTCTGCAAAAAATGACTACTTAAGTAACATGCAATTTTCTCATTGATTTTCGATGCCCTTGAAAATTCAATTATATTTCATGGAAAACATGCATAAAAATATTCATTCTTTTACTTATTCGGTAGAAAATCACGTCTTCTTCCAATTTTATACTCAAAAAAAGTATAATTTGGTCTTAAAAGTTTCTTATTGTGCGATTTTTTATGCCGTTAAATGGCCGTTCAGGAAACGTCATGTATCTGCATTTACGAATGTGGCTTGTAAAGTCAACAATATTGCTCAAATCCACTGCTTAATTTTATGAACCTCATATGGTCTCCTCTTAATACCGTAGAGAAATGCATGGTTTTCCGTACACGGAAAATAAACAGCTTGTAGTTTTGAAACCCTGAATGCAAGTGTAACAGCGGGTCAGGTTCAAAATTATTCAGGAATCAGAAATGTTTTTTAAAACCGAATTAAACTATTCTTTTGAGTATGCAATTGTAAGAAGACGTGATTTTCTACCGAATAAGTAAAAGAATGAATATTTCTATGCATGTTTTCCATAAAATATAATTGACTTTTCAAGGGCATCGAAAATCAATGAGAAAATTGCATACTACATAAGTAGTCATTTTTTGCAGGGTGTAGATCTTGCATGCAGCCAAAAATAAGTTCTTTCGAAAGCCGACACCCTGAGGTAACTGGATCATTACAGATTTATGCTGCATCATGATTAGTTTTACAACACTACTTTATGTATCTTTTCGAAACGAGAACGCATTTCGAAATTTTGGTTGACATTTCATGAGTTAGCACATCTACTGTAAGTTTAATTACATACCTGATTTGATTTCTCCCTGATCCCTGACTTGTCATACGACGAATGTCATTAGCTACCAATGCATTTAGGAAGCACTTGATTTTTCCATTTAATGACCTAAAATATTTATCTTTCTTTAAATTAGAAACAAGATTCGGAAAAAAAACTTGCAGAGCTTAATATGATTTGTGTCTATAACATACCTTCATGCCATAAATATATGTGCCACTTTGCAGATGTCCCCTTATAGGTGTGTTTTTCATAGAGCTATTTGACCGACATCCATATAGCGCCTATTTCGACTAAAATTATTAAAGGTTTAAAATCATCTGGTCGTCCTATGTTCATGAAAATATTCCTAGACTTTAAAATCCACTTATATGTCAACAACATTTCTCCCTAACAGACTAGGCATAGCGTCATAATTTCCTTCTTTTCAAGTAAGGTGAGCCAGTCTTTACAAATAACAGTTTCATAACCTTTCCATTGCAAAAATGATGAATCCATCTGCAAAAACAGAATTTATGAAGCCCTTACGGCTAGTTTCTCCTCTGATTCAATGTTATCAGGATACTTTTCTGTGCCTCTTTGTTAATTTCACGTCTCGACATTCAGCAAATTTTGTCAATGGGTATACTAGCTTTCTCTTTATGAGCCTGTTTATGCATTTCCGCGAAGGTTCAAACTGCTATGACATGGAAATATATGTAATCTTTTCAAATGTAAACGCTTTTAAGGGAATTTTGACAGTTCATTTGCTTACGGTCTCGTAGATGAAAGTATAAGCGGACTTTTTGTATGTTAGGTTTTGGAACGCACATTTATCTTGTTGCGTTCCGACTGACTAATTTAATTTAAAAGTACGTTCGACATTTTACTAACATTGGAAAACAATGTTTTCGTCCGAAAGAAAAAATATTACACCAAAATTAGAAGCAGGAGGTTCATATATTTCATCCGCTCAGGAATCCCAGTGCCACGCTCCCACTTTCACGTGGCAATATGACAACCAATGAGCGAACACGCCAGACCTGTCACTGCGATAGCGTAAACACTGAATTCTAAACGTTACATACTATATTTATCGTCAGTTTTGACTTAATAATTTTAATAGTGGTGTAAATAGGTAAGAATGTTCATTTCTGAAATAAACGAGGCAGGCAAGAATTAACTTCTGCGCGCAACTTAAAAGAAACGCTTTTTTATTTGGTCACAGAACCGGTTACTCAGCAGTGGCGTCTTTGCCACAAAAGCGCTCAGTTTTTAAGCTAATCTGATCAATGGGTATGTTTTGGGGCACAAAAGTAGGCGGATATTTAGTTTTTCAATATTTGTTTCTGAAGACGCCTCAAAATTTCCCCAGATTGGTTATAAGTTAACACTTCTGTGCAAAATATGTCCAACCTTTACTCGAAGCGTGTTCGAAAGTAAAGGGCTGAGGAGAACTGCCGTCAAATATGTCTTGATATTTTAAAAACAATTGTTATTCTCTTCGATTTTTGGAAGACTTGAGTGCGCAAATTTAGTTGTTTCGTTTCGAACACATGTATCTATGTAATTAGGGCCCGTATTCTGCAAGATTATTATATTAAAAGCTACATCAATATGACATCACATACCATGGCTGATTCACATAATAGCTCGGACAAAAGTCTTCTGAACGTATATTCAATGAGTAGGAGGCACATCGCATATTCATGATTATTTTTAATTTTTTTTATTAACTTCTTTCATTCAAAGAAGTGCAAATAAACTACTTGACATTTGGAGTGACTTCCAAAAAGTACGCATATTTTTTAACGGACACGGCTTTTCAACAAAGCGTTCAGCACAAATCACTCTTGTTGCTAGCTCGCTTTCAGAAACACAGTATCTCCGGACAAATTTAATTTATTGTCTCTGATTACGGTTTGCAAGCATCATTTCTGACAGAAAAAAATATGGAAACTGTGCATAGGGCACTACCAAGTGTATTAGGTTCAGCACTTTATATTAGTCCCATAATTTTGCGAATATTTCCTACCACCGTATATTCCCGATCTCAACTGGCAGGAAAACTAGCCCGTGGCTCAGTGGTTCAGGGTGTTGGACTTCTAAACAATAGTTCGGGGGATCGAGCCCCAGGTGTTTCACACGTCGGGTTAGGTAATGCTATTCTAACAGCCACTCTCTTTACACCAAAGGACGATTACCTAAGATTGCACAAAGGCAACAAAAACTAAACAAAACTGTTGACTGTGATCATAAAATGTAACTGTTTGTTAAGCATTTAAGTTGTAGTAGCAAATTGTATATTTGGTCGTTGCGTTGTCAGTTTTAAATTTGGTGGAAGTCGGTTACGCTGTCCTGATCCAAATTTTAAGCGCGATGTTGACATTGAAAGGAAAGTAAGCCCAAAGGGGTGCTAAAAAATTGGAAGAGCTAAAATGGAAAAGGGAAACATGATGTTTCGGCTGAGAGGTCGCGTTGGTTTTAGGGTTTGGGTTAGTGTCAGGCTAAGAATTGAGTTCAGAGTTAGGGCTTATGTTAAGTTTAAGGGTCCCGGTTAGAATTATGGGTTGGATTGCGGTTTAGGTTTGATTTGGTGTTAAGGTTGGGGTTAGGGTTAGTGTTAGGATACGGGTAGGATTACGGTTAAGGTTAGGGCTATGGTTCTGGTTTGGGGCTGCGGTTAAGGTTAGGGTAAGGATTACTGTTAGGCTTAGGTGGAGGGTTTACGGTAGGTTAAGGGCTGTGTCCGCTGTTAAGTTTAGGGTTAGCGCTAGGCTTGTAATGACGTTAAGGATATGGTTTACTTTTGAAGTTACGGTTAGGTTTCGGGTTAGGTTTGGGGTAGTGTTGTCTCGCCCATTCCTGTCAGCCAGCTCTTTAGCGGGGATCCCAGGCTTCCTTCAAACTTGCGGCAGATTTTTCATACACTAGGTTTCCTTCTCCGTTTCAGCCTTGGTTACTTTCCTCACTAACTATTTCAGCATCCCTCTTCGGCTTACTTTCCTTTCAATGCCCACATTGCGCTTACATTTGGGATTTAGACAGCGTAATCGACTCTTGTCTAGGAAATTTTGTTTGAACTAAGCCAAAGGTGCTGCCCTCGCCAGCATCAGCAAACGAAAAATTCTAGACTGAAATTCAATGGCATTTGCATGCATGTCTCTGCGTCCCCGCTCTCCCTCTCCTCGCCCTGTGACACGGCTCTACTAAACTCTAATTCCTCTCCCCCCCTATTCACCCACCCCGCTCGTATGAAAAGACGAAGCGTAATCGATCTGTTATCGTTCACACGTTTTGCTTCGTACCTCGTCCCCATATAAATGCACTGGCCCGACGAGAATTTATCGAAAGCACTCGTATGCTCACTAAATAGTCTTCTAAAGATAAATGTTTTCGTAAGCTCAAACGTTTTCGGCACACGTTGACGTTTTTCAACAAAAGGGTGAAGACCTAGCGCCGAAAGAATTCCGCGTTGCTAAAAATGTCATTTCGAATATGTATGACAGATGGTCTGCTTATTGGTCTGACATTCTATTTACAGTGCCGTGATTCCTTGGATAAACGCTCTAAAATGGCTTTGGTTTCTGATCATGCAAAACGACGGGGATTGTATTCGAATGACATCCGACAAACATTTGCGAAAAGGGACTGATAGCACCTACATATAATTTAATACTTTTGTATGCTGCCAGTCTCTACATTTATTCATGCATTTAACGAAGCTTGAATGTGATCTTAAGCCGTTCATCTAGTAAAAAAGTGCGTCGGACGTTCGTACATTGGCAGACCCACTACTCCAATTTGCAGCCGAAATTATTTTTTAGTGTAGGCATTGGCTCCAGAGAAGGCAAATTTTGCGTTTCTAGTGTTTTCATACTAAGACCATTTGCAGTACTATAATGCGCCCTAAAAACGAAGCTAGGGGCAAATTAATTTCGCCCAAAGCGACAGAAAAAAATTCAACTTCTTTCACTTAAATCCTAGTTTGTATTCGTCTCCTACTTCGTCATTTTTATAAAATGAAGTTCTGATTGGTTTGCGAAAAGTCTTCAGTGTGATGGTTTGCCTATGCTAGATAAAGCAAAAAAGTAAAAGGAGCTACTGGACAATTTACACAAATCCAACTAACCTGCGCAAAGACATCGGAGTCTTGAATGAGGCTGTTTTCGCGTATATGTAATGCTTACATTTGATAACGCCGCGGAGATACGGCGTTGATGCAGTGCTTGTCAGTCCTGGTAAGATAGTGTCAAAATGCCGTTGCCAGTCAATCGTTAATCTGAAATGTTCGCCTTAACGATGAACGAGCACTTTTTGCGCAGCAGTCAGCTTACAATGTAAGCAGTAAATATTCCGCATGGAACGCGATAAAGTCTGCTTTCGGAAAAACATCATAATTACCCAAAGATTCCACTCCCAAAAATCAAGAAAAACTATGTCATTTTCGAAGTGTTTGCTTCATCGACTATTTAGGGAGCAACACGGACTGCAACGAAGTGGAAAGCTAACCACAGCAGGTAACCCATGTTCCGTCATTTAATCAGATTGCTTCCACGTAACAATGCACAAGCGTGGTTGTCAAGGAATGAGAGGGCCTACAACCGGATATTATGACATTGGCATGGATTGGCGTTCCAGAGTCCTTCAGACATTATTCTTTCATTATAACTGATAAACGTAAGTAATTTAAGAAGAGCAATGCAACCTAAATATATGCCTTTTGCTGTTGCTAATGATATCTAAAAAATTAATTAGTCCTAACCCGTCAACTGCAAGCCAATAGATGAGTGGCATCGGCTTTCTACATGTTCGTATTCTGGACTGAGTAAGCTGAAGTTGAGGTTTTCCTGCAGATAGCCTTGAGAAACTTAACTCGCCTTTACGAGGTTAGTTTTCTTTTGTGTCTTTCTTCTGACACCGCCAAAAGTAACAAGATGAATCTGAAACTAAGCCTGTATAAAAAAGTACCTTTCTTTTTTTACGGTCGGAGAAAGAAACATTGAAAGTATTCGATGCCAAATAATTTCCTAGTTTTTGCTAAAACTTCTTTAAATATCTCTATTTTGACTCAAATAACATTTAAGCCAATAAAAAGCTTTGCTAAACGCCAGGGCCCAAAATACGCCGAGATTTGTGTTCAAAACTTACATTCGTCTCACCTAGTAACATATGACATTTGGCAGCTAGTATGTTCTTGCAGTCCGTGCATAAGCAACAGTTTTTCAACTTAGCTGTCTTTGACAATACCGAGTGCATGCATTCTTCGGACACACTGTATGAAATCATTTGCCTCCGCTGACCCCGTGAAACTCTGTCAAAACTTTAGCTCTCGTTTACGGCTCTTGCATCATATTCATACCTCGTCCATACAAAGAGCTGCTTGTCGACTACCGTCTCGAGATTGCGGCCTCGGGAATGTGACTTTTTGGGTTTGTGGTTCCGGAAGTTGCTACCATTCTGTCAGTCTTTATTTCCATAGCCGGAGGAAACTGAATAAGAACTGCGGCATTCCATAAAGCATAAACAGAAAATCCTTCTAGAGTAGACGTTGTTGTTAAGTGGGCCAAGTTCATCTGCAGATAAGCTTCTGAGCATTTTAACAATGAGTCAAAAAGACGCTGCGTTAAAAGGCATTATGGTTTTAACGGCGGACACATGTGTAATTGAAAAAGTCGTCCTAAGATATTTCGGACGAAAAACATAAAAACATCGGCCAAACTAAGCATTATTTAGGTTCTGGGCAATCCTAAAATTCTTGTCGAGAACTAATTTCCTGAATGCGATTGAAAGATCATGTAATTTAGCAAAACGTGCTTTTGCATTCTTCCGTAATTTTAAATACTTAAAAAACATTTTTTGTGAATTTTCACTTGGAAGAAGGTAAAAATTGTTTTATTTTTCGGAAGACTTAAGTATCTAATTCCAATAGGATCTTGTACCTTCTACTATATCAGATGAGGTTCAAGGCTGAGTTAATGTCCTGAATAAATGAAGTTAGTTATAGAGAGACAACTAAATTTGGACCCCTAGAAATCGCACGCATCGTTCTATCTCGAGTATTGATTGGAATATTGGCCAATTCGTGATGCCTGGAGCTGATATTTTGCAAACCGCAAAGGCAGTCCCATGGCGATTTACAATCGGCAATGGATAAGTGTCGTTGATAAAGACGGGACGCTGGTATGCATGCTTCTGGATTAACAGTCATTATTTTTCACTGGCACCCCAGGCCCATTAGCCGAATAATTCACAATCTGAACCTTATTTCCTGTCGAATAATTGGAACAGCGTCACTCCAACAGGTTAAATATGGTCAAAGTCATTGCACTGAATGGTATATATGAGAGGAATGAGAAGGCCAATTTCTCTTTTCACGTGAGTGCATAAGATCATAAAAAAATCACTTCCCCTCCGAGGTATGTCAAACGTTACGAGTGAATTCTAGCAGAATGACGAGTACACGAAATGGCATTAAGAGACTTCGTTTCCACCGAATCATTGCAGCTGAGGACGCCTTTGGGAATTGTCAAGCACCACAGATGCAACAGTCGCATCAAAATAACTTTTGTGAGAATTTTAGAATGTCAAGTAAATTACTCTGACATTCATCATTCCTTTCAATTGCCATACTTGCAAACTGAGTGCTGAAATTTATGCCAGTCCTGAAGATAAATATAATGGAAAATCCTTCTTTTCTATACTACATCAAGCCGCCACTTTTGCGATCAATGGAACGAAAGTGGAGTTATTTTCTCTAAAATCAAACAATCCAAAGGGTCTTTGTTTTAGATAAGCAAAAGTAATAACATTACTGGAAGGAATACAAGTATCTTTCATACCGTTGAAGAAAGCAAACACACAGACGGGTCATGTTCTTCACGTTAAATTAAACAGAATACGCTCAAATGATGATTCTAGCATGAAATGCACAGAACACGTTTAAGTCCCGTTGCCTTGTTTTGCAGGTGCAAATTTGGGCTTAATTGAGTTCAAATTAGTGGTATTCAAGTCGCCGTTTACACAAGAACTGTCTGACTAGACAAGTATTTTTTGCCAATATTTATCAAACCTTTCAATAAATTCTAATGAAGGCGTGGTTAAGTTCCGCAGCCCCACTCTACTGTATGGCTGGCTTACTAAAACAATATTAGATAACATACCTAAGTTAGCCACATGCCGGATTAGGAGGGGAAAAAGGGCGCAAATAGCGCTCGAAGCACTCGCAGGAAAGCGAGTGAAGGTGGCATGTACACACTCCCACCGACACATTCAGTCGCTGGATTAAGAGGATAAAAAGGACTCAATCACATCTGGAGGGCCACTGAGGAAACCGCGTGGAAATTCGCAGTGCATCGTCACTGTGGTTGAACCGATGGAGTTCCACACCGTAAGAACAATTCAATTAGCAAGTCTGCTTAGCCGCTCGCCGGATTAAGATAATAAAGAGTAGGGCTCGAAGTACGCACAGGGAAGCGCGTATGAACTGATATATGAAGTAATCAGGGCTGCTTTATGAGCACTCCTCTCCCCGTGGCACAGTCACTTACTTGATTAGAATGGCAAGATGCAAATACGTGAGATTTGTAAAGTCAGCATATCCGCATCTAAATAATTTTTTAGAAAGCTAACCATATGATATCATTCATGTGGGGTTGTAGGACAAAATCCCGCTCTATTGAATTTAGTCACTTTAATTGCTTGCCTAAAGATCCACAATAAACTGCATGGGAAGCGGTGGGAGAGCCAGAAGGGAGTAAAATCACCTATGTTTATGTAACCAACCAATCGAAACTAGACAAAACGTTTAAGACAGTATATTAATACCTGTATTTGGCCTCCGGGGATCCATTATCTATGCCATCTGGTTAAATTGAAGTTCTCAGAATTCTTAGTTAATTTGCCTGTTGGCATACATTCCTTAAAGATAGTTTGCAACGTGTTACCACTCTGAAGTCCTCTCGCCGTACATGGCATGAGCCCCACTTTTTGTTATAGAAAAGAGTCCCGAGTTGTCTACAGATATTCGGTAGATTACCATGATAGAATTACCACTTCTGTATGTTAGGGGCAAATCTGACTTCTGAGTAGCTTCCAGTCGTATTTCTCTGTTATTTCAGTAAACACAGTCGGTTGTCGCGTTCTGACATTGGCACTCAATATTTAAGAATTTTACAGATTGTTATAAAGGACATGCTATTACACATCTTTCAGGTTCGGTAATTGCCTGAGAGATGCAAACTACCTGTAAGTGCTGTGACATTCGTTTCCAATCAAGACATGCTTTACATGGCAGCCCTCGTGTCAATTCCATTATCTCATCATGTCCTAGTGATAAACATCAATTTCTAGGAGGTAACAAGACTGTTCTGAAAGGTCTTTCATAATCTCAATCACATACACGAAATTTCAAAGGCAAAAAGTTTAGTCTGGTCGCTTCCGATTTTTAATAAGTGTCGTCAGGTCGTAAAGTAGATAAAAAGATACTTTCTCCATAAAGTCTAGTAGGCGGGCTGATTCTTTTGGAAGGTTCATCTTATTTGTCACCTCAAGTATTAATTGACAAAGGTTCATTCTAGAAAGCTTTCGATGTGCGGGCATCAAAGTCTAGTTGAAAAACATGCCTTAGCAAAAGACGTCATATTCTTTTTCAATGACTTAACGCAAATTAGACGTGACAGCACATAGAAAAACACACGATACTTTTATCCCCTGGATTAGATGCAACTTTCTCATGAGCCAGGGGATTTAACGAGAAATCCCATCCTGGAATGGGTTTTGGCCTAATCCTCCCAATCCCCTGTATGTCGCCACCCTTTTTATTCGGAAAAGATCTCCCATAGCCGCCTCCACCGCCCTCTCGCCCTCCTTCTGTCTTCCCTTTTTGCCTGTAGATTTGAAGCAAGGCAACTTGAGGCAAAGAATTTGCTAAATTTCTTTTTGCACTTTGAAATTAAAGGGGTGGAGGTGGGAAGAATGAGGTTCGCGACAAACGGACCAGTACTTTGAAATTTTTATTTTGTCGTCTTTGTGTTTGCAACAAGCACGACAGACGATACTTAAATTAAAAAATCCAAAAGACTAAATGGCCTGATTAAGTACCAATTATTGGGACTGACAACTGAAACGCACAAACTAATAATTTCGAGGCTAAAAGGAGCAAGGTTGAAGATAGTGCTTCGTTAACAGGAAGTGGTTGGTAGTTTTTGCAAGGAAAAGTTCAAAACCTTTCGGCATGGAATCGAAAAGTGTTCAGGATGGCCTACTGTGCCACTCCACTTGTGTACTTTATTTAAAGCATATCTATACCGAGGCAGATACTCTCCGATATTTTGCCCGAACAGCAAAAATGTGCTTTTTAAAACACAAACAATAGTCCGTCGTCATGAACATGCAAAAATAGCAACGAATAGTTCAGTGAACACATCATTCAAATTTAAGTAAATTCCTCCACATCTCGTGTTTGTGATCTCCCACGGCGTTCTATGGAGACAATTTTACCGTATGAAGCAAATTATTGCATCGGAGTGGCGTTTACCAACCTATCCTGTTTGCAGGGCGAAATCAGTACTTCCTGAACGTCACTCGCAGGGGACTGGGAAAATTTCAAATTTAAGCCCACAGAACGTGGGTTTGTGCTTCAGAGGCTAGAGCTCTTGGCTTAAAAGCGTTTGGTCTTTAGCTGACTTGGTCTCAAACCTCGGGTGCATCAGCGCCTGAAGTTGGTTTCCACTAACTCATGACAAAAAGTGAACATGAAGTGGTCATATGAATGTCTCCTGTTATTTGCATTAAAAACGTTACCTACGTCCTAAGTATTAAAAGCTTTAATCGAGGCGAACTAGTGAAACTCGCGGTATATCCAGCTGCAAATTTTCCAAAACAGACACGTCTGACCACCACTATCTTTAAACTTTCAAGTGTCCCAGTGACCACTGAAATTACAGTGTGTCAAAATGTTATGCGCACAGTTGTCGCCTGCCTTTTAATTGTTCTCTAAGTTCTGGAACACGGTGAAGGGATTAGAGTACCTAATTAACAGTCTTCATCAGAAGGCCAAATGGTAATAAGTCTTTACTTTAGCTTTAATGCGTGCGACGAAATCAATTTCATGATTAATGTCGCCTAATAATTTTTATTGGTGGTTTATAAACGACTTAACACGCTACAATAGCGGTTTTTGGGCATTTCATTCTATAGCTCTGTTAGAACGGTCGTTTTTAAACAATGCGCTAGACGTGATTGATTTAACCAAAATAGTTCATGTTTAAAAAACTGCCAGAAATAAAAACTCCAAGATGACTATGAAGACAATTTCTTTTATTTCTCTTTTTCGCAAGCACACATCCCGTACGTAATATACTATTAAATACCGGAGCGTCGTTTGCAAATATATTTGTGTCGCATAATTGTACGAAACGCATTATGTCTATTTCTTCTTATATTCTGCACATTTCGTGATCATGTAATTATGTGGCTATATTTGGTGTTAAGAATGAAGTCTTCGTGGAATTCTACTTCATTCTTTTAAAGAAGTCGATCTTCATAATTATTTCATTTGTTGCTGACAATTCTTATCCCAGCAATATGGTTAGAAAAAAACCTGCTTACTAGTGGCTACTGCAACTGAAAAAAAACAGTTATAACCACGGACACTTATCAGGACGTTAGAGCCATGTCAGATAACTGGTCATACTCTTGCGGCGCCAATCTGCGCACACGTAGCCGCAACTCCAGTTTTTGCCCGGTTTGCGGCAACAAGTACAAGTAGGCTTTCAAACGCATACATTACAGAGAACGAGCCACGGAGGCATACCGTTAACACCTAAGCGGCAACGAATGCCCGATAATTCTGCATCCCTTCACCATATACAACCACCTTTAAGGGAGTGTTAGCCACAGCTCACTGTCAACTGTATTATTTTTACTGGTAGTGTTGGCCATTTTTAGCAGAACTTCGCTGAAAGCCATATCGGTGTATTTTTAGGAAAAAACCAGGATGCACACACCAATCGCACTGTACTGGTGCAAGGTCATGCTATAAAAACAATAAACTTCTCCAGATGCGCAGCTGGATAGCATTTACTCAGTTAAAATCTAACGGGCTGTCTAAAGTACAAACTAATATTTCAAATGAATTTCTTACGATACGTTCTCAAAGTTTACGAAAGTTATGCATGTCAAACTTGAATATACTAAATCGGGACAAGACTAGCAATGTATCGGTTCACAAATCAGCGTCTACCAAAACAGAAAAGCATGTCCGACCTAAAAATATAGAGGGATTTTTGGACAACTGCAGCGCAAGCAACCAGTTTTGTTTGTGGAATCCATGCGAATAGCTTTTCACTTTATTATTTATGCTTAACCGTTTACCAAGTAATATTAAGATGCTGTAGAGTGAAGAATTTAAAATTTTACTGATAGCCGGGATATCTGGATGAGACGGGAAACGAAAACCGAAGTTTTCGAAACAGCGCCTTTGGTTTTGCAGATTTGCAGTTTGCGCTACCATTACAACCAGTGGTATAGATACAGGGAAAATGTGCGTTTCAAAGGTGGCGGTTTCTCGCTGCTTTATGAAATTCCATTTGCTTTTATGGCTCCCTGGCTCGTGTGTGGTCGATCTACTTGATAATTTAAGCAGTCGTCGCTTCCAGCAACCTTCTCCACAACCATAATGCGAGAAGGCTAGAGCGTTTTTTATATGCACTGCCACCATCTGCACAGATTTTGCTTTATTCAGACTTAAAAGTGTTGACTTTTCAACGTCCAACCTCTCCATAGTAGATGCGTCTCTTGCATCAACATGCTTACCTGAATTTCACCTGAAAATCAATTTCATAAAACAGAGAATTTTGTAGGCGTTTATTGCTTACCTGATTGCATCTACCTAGAGAAAAAAGCTATATTTATGGTGACCGAAAGAGGCCTAGTCATGTTTCCCCTTTTTTATCCAGTCTCCAATCGAATAGCAAATTTTCGTCTAACCGGTCAACTTCATAACAACATAGGCCGAGTCCTATGCTCGAAGAACATAATTCGCTGGATCTCAAAGACGCGACTCTGTAATTTCGGATGCAGGCCAGCTATCATTTGCCGTAAAGATTAAGCTGTATTGAGATTAAGTAGATTTGGAAATCGTCTAACTTCAAATAAATAATCATCTGCTGGATATAACACCCAATCCAGCAGTACTGCCGCATAAACAACGCATTCCAATATTAGGCGAAGCAATATATTTATTAAAGGGGGAATTACTGCTGAATTGTCGTAAACGTGCATGAGTATTTACAGTAGATGGCTAGGAAGCCGCGTTTTACGAATAATGCACACGAAGACAGGAAAAAATCCAGACAGCAACAATCCAAGGTTATTTGAAGTGCTTCCACGCACTGCTGACGTTTTGGAAACCGGCAGGCTTCTTATGCATCGCAAGAAAAAGGTTTTCTAGACAGGCACCGAACAATATTTCCTCATAAAGTTGGGATATTTATTGACAAACTGCCTCACCTAACAAGTCAACCTACCCTCCACGCCTGTTCTATTTGATAACAAGGTGAGTCTAGTTGGAACAGGCAGTTTACACATAATACTGTAAGGATATAGTACAGAGTGGACCGTAGGTCGCGTAACCACTTACTAAGTTAATAAGTTAAAGATTTGTCCCCTAATAATTTAGTACCGAGATACGATGGAGACGCAAAAAATTCATTTTTGTCATTTCAACGCAAAGCATGCACAAGTCGCTTCTATGCCATGCAGAGAGAGTGCAAATTAAATCCATCAACATGAAATTTACCCTCCCAAGTTTACAGTTGATTGTCCTGTATCACCTAGAAGCGTAATCTGACCCTATTTGGCTTCAGAACGGAGATGACAATATAGTAAAACGGACGCAACGGATCTCAAGAGATGTTGAAATTTTTGTTTGCCCTACCATGAAGAACAGTCTTGATACGTGGGGCCAGCAAGAATGTCTAACCGTCTATGCGGCCAAGCCCAAAATATAGCATCTAATCTGTTCAAATTTAGAACGATTTCGTGGAACTTGAATTTCAATTTGCCACACGTTTGCCCGATTTGATAGTACCCGACGTTTTTCTTAATAGCTCTTTTAAAAGTAGAAAATATGCGAATATGTCAGAGACTGCCCCGAAGTTTGTAAATCCAACTCTAGAGTATACTCATGCACTGATGGCAGATATTTTGAAGGCCGATAAGGAAAATAACGCTACGAAGCCAGCGTCTGAGAATAAGAAAATAAGAAAAATATCCGGCCCTCATTTTCAATGCCAATTTGCCAATCCTTTTCAGTGTTAAGTAACTAAATAACTAATTTCAAAATATGTGCAGTTGACTAAAACGTTAAGCATCTGTTTAATTTATAATAGCAAAGTGACTTATAGGCCACAGTGAATTATAACAAGACTCATTTTGGATACTATTCACCCTAACGTTTAAATTTGACTGCAGGGTAAAAGTGATTGCAATAAAAAAATCCGAAATGTTGCGCATGTACACGAGTATGTCAGAGCTCCACCATACCCACAACTTATGCTCAATCTGAAGACGTTCACAGGTGTTTGGAATTCATGGAGTGCATATACCAGAAATCACGTGACAACGAGGGCAACGACAAAGGAACCGAACTAACTTGCAGCAGCGTCACGCAACAGCAGAAGCATCGGCAGAACAAGTTTTTATGTTTTTAACTAATGCTTATGTTTGGAGCAGGGGATGAGTCACTGTCGTATAAAATTTTCACTAATAGAACAGCTCGTTGGTTGGATAAATATAACGCGGTCATTTTGTGGTCTACTTTGGCCATCTTAAAGTTCATTACAATTTTAGGTTTCATCCCAAAGAGTTGCGCCATGGGCACTTAATCATGGGCTAATTCTTGCTGATAGGTCGCAAAATTGTTATTTCAGTGCACTTTCTCGGAAGGCATTGACCGGAAGGTTTCTGAAAACTGACGCAGTCGGCTGATGATATTTGCGTTATAAATGGGACAAAACATAATTGCTAAGATATAACCCCTCGTTAAGGAGTATGCAGCAAGCCCACTACGGCTGCTACCTGTGAAGATAAAGTGCGGATGGTAATGTTCATTTTAGATCCTGCGCATTCGCGATAAACCAGTAGAACCAACATTAATTGGATTAGATAACGTTGAAAGATAGTATGGCAATGCGTTTATCTTGGTAGCATTTGTTTAAAGAAGTAGTGTTGCGTAAACTTATACGTAACGCGTCATCCTTGACTTTTCAATGTATGATCGTTGATGATTTGCTTCTTTCCTCAATAAAAAAGCCAATCAATTAAAAGTTATATATTTTAACTTGAAAGGGATAAAACGTTAGAATTTAGTCGATTCTGGCAGCTATCTGGACTGTTCAGGTCTTTTTCTCTTTATACATGGTGTCCCAAAAGCCATTATACCTTTACTAGATTTTTTAAAATTATTCCTTTGTGAATCGTCAACAACAGAATCATTGCTATCTTACATGCTAGACTTGCCGCCATGTTCCAACGCCTCAAAGACTAGTCGTATACGTTTTCATGAACGTCTCCACTTTCGACAACATTCAGCCATCCTCGGACGCAGCTCTCTCCGACATTTCGTAGTATCTCTTTCCGGACCTCGCTGCAGACCGTTCAGATTCGTTTTCCAAACTATGACAGATCACGTGACTTGGTGATATACACCTTGGTTTTGATATGGCCTCACAAAATGTCACAAGATGTGAGGTCAGCTGAACGCGGAGCCCACTCGTGGTGGGGGGCGATTTTGACCAATCCGTCAGTCAGGAAAGTTGGCGTTCAGGAAGCCCCTCACTAACCTGAAAAGGTGAAGAGGGGCTCCGCCTTGCTGAAGAAAGACCTAAGCAAGGTCCCTGCGCACCCAAAGTTGTGTAATAGTAAACTCCTGAATTACCTTCAGGTAATATTCCCCTGTAACTGTGGTAACGTTTCCGAATGCGTATCTGGGGAAGAGCAATGTGGTCATCCCGGTGCTAGACACGGAATACCAAACCATCAGTTTCTGAGAGTCTCATCTACGCTTCAGAATTGCTGCTAGGCTGGGCTTTTCTGAAATGTGACAACGGTGTCTGTTTACTAAACCAAAAATTTGTAAGATAGACTCGTCACTGAACCAGTTTTCCGAGAGCTGAGAGTCGTTTTGATAATGTTGGGGGAGTGATTTTCATACTGCTGCATGGGCAACATTATTTTCTGCTTTAAGCGTTTGAAGAACCTGAAGTCAGCACAAGCAGAGCTTTATAATCTTACTAAGCAGCCGATGAATAGAACCTTTGTTGATGCTGAATTCCAGTGCAGGCCTCCGGAAGGTCTTCCCTTGGATTTGCGTGAACGCTTGCGCCAGGAGTTCGTTTTTTTCCTCAATGATTGTAGTGGCGGGCCTTCAACTGCGTGGTCTGTCAAGAACAGACCCTGTTTTCAAAAATTTGCCGTGGGTAGCGTAAGCTGTGCTTCAGGTTGGAACATTTTGACAATCATTAAGCTACTCAAATTCGCGTTGAACTGCAGTCGGGGCTGAAAAGCTTCTTACCCGATGACAGTTTTGTAACGTTGCCCCCACGTCACTTGGCAAGTCACGGGCAAGGGAATGATAAAGTGACGAGAACTGCAGTCTATGCTGTCAGATGCTGATACTTTCACGTTTCTCCGAATGACATCTGAAAAAAGCAGAAAGGAGGAATCTGTATATTGACATCTGGGACACCCTGTCGATATGCATGTTGTCCAAAGAGTTACTGTGTTTAGTTAAGAGTGTCTTTTACTGTTCGGGCCTTTATTGCGAAATTTATACCAAAACTTATCTATCTAAAGACAATTTTTTCCGAAATTCTGTCGAAACCGTTCAACTTTGGAGTTAATATCCATCGTCTGAATAATATTTTAAAAGATGACAGATGTTCTAGACTTAAATTTTTCAAATTAATATATTCTGTGCCACAGGGGACCGATCAATCTGCTTCCGAAGCGACACAGAATTCAAATTTACTGTAGGTAATTCTTCCAAGTGAAAAGTGATGCATCTAGGTCTGACATCCATCCCCATAAAAACCAAAGTGAAACTGCGCGAGGGCTGTGCTTGCGCATGCGGCGTCTTTGTATCACCATGGTAAAACAATCCAACAGGGCAGACTGATTTCCATTTTGCCATCGCTTTTGGTTTCCAGCCAAAAATCAAAAAAATCGACGATTTTGTCAATCCTCTTCTGCACCCTTTGTCCCCCCCCCCCCTTTGACAGCTGCGCACTGTCATGGACGTTTCGGGGGAACTAAAGAATCCCATTGAGTCAGTGGACCAGCGTCGCGACTTGATTAACTGTCTTGTCCGACACCTGGAGGACGCCCTAGCTATTCGTCACTTCGGCCGGCAACGCCGCCAGCGACAGCCCAGGCCTGTAAACCAATCAGCATACGGTAAAGCCTGGGACTCTTCGGTGGAACCCTCCGCTACTCGTTTCCCCACTCCAGTGGTGCCCCTCACTTTCTCTCACCAGACGCGTCTGCCAGGACCTAGACCTTGCAATCCCGCCTCCAGCAGCTACCTCTGCGGTCTCTACCTCGTTGTCAAATCGCTCTATCTGGTGAATTCAACTGCACAGTTATACGTGACTGGAAAGTAAGGAAAAGTGTCAGCATGGCCTCAAATCACTTTGGTTACATTTTGGTTGCGCTGCCGAAATGCGATTCATAGTTTTGACTGTTTGTTTATGACCAGGCGGTCAAAGTGTCTATTATCTAACAAGTCCTGTCAGTTTTGTCAAAGTATATAGAATGGTGACATTCGGGTGGCACCTAGATGAATAATGTAGCCACTTCCTGAAGCATACGCATTTTGGAGAGTATACATATCCTGAAGGGGATTCCGACAAAGACAAAGGAGACTGGAATAGCATTTTTGGCTTATTGGTCGTTCGAGGCTCACGTGCAGCAAGACGTAGGTTTGGTCAAAGCTGGCTCGGAAGTTTGAGGGGCAGCGGAGAGGGAAAGGCAAGTAATGGTATACGGTGAAGGGAAAACTGCGGACAATATTTCTGCAATAACTCGACTCGAACTCTCTAAATTAGGGCAACAGAAACTGTGGAGTTCGCACGAACTTTTTTCAAGAAGGGACAGAGTACGATTTAACTAAATGAACTTCTTGCCAATGCTAATCGCCATGTTTCTGGACTGTGTTAGCGGTCGAAACATCCGGTTTGGCGAATTGACATCAGCGTTTTTTCAGTTTTTCTTCGACTTTGTCCTCTTTCATCCCGATTAATTGGTCGATGTGAAAGAGCGCCTAAGCAACCTGATTCATATCCCTTTACGAATCCCACATTTGGGTCTTGGTATCCGCGTTTTGTGAATTATAAATATTCTAGAAGTGTGCATCAAGGATTGTTTTTAAAAACATTCAGTCCAACCGTGAATCAGACCTTTCCTGTTTCCACATGCAGAAAGTCAATTAACCCATCAAAATTAATATATAGGGGCCTACTTAAACCGGTTTTAAGAATATAGACTTGTTTTTCACAGCTTGAATGAGAAGATCATCCCTAAGATAACTGTTCGAGCTTGACCCCGTAGCGTCATGCTAAGACTGATCTTTAAACCCATCTCAGCATTTAAACGGGTTCTTTCCATTTTTCTTCCGAACGGAAGTTTTCATGTATCACTTATTACCCGCGTATGGATTTGTGGGACATATATATTTACATGTTTAGGATTTAGAGGCGCAGGAGACGCATGTTATAGATTGACAGATATCAGGAACATTTGTTAAAGTATGCGGCCTTTTTTTCCATGATACATCTAATTTGACATCGGTTTTTTTCTCTCCGGCGTTTGAGAGCCTAGGCACTTTATGAAGCCATTTGCCAACTACTTTGTTCATTGAATAGGCCATAGCGATTTGCCGAAATGTATCTTAAAGTCCCAAGCTTGTGAGCAGCAATCTTTTCCACCCTAATAATGTTTTTATCTACCTCCTCCTCCTCCTCCTCCTCCTCCTCCTCCTCCTCGCGTGAGAATAGCCATCTGTTCAAAAACTTTAGATAACAGTTATATGCTGATTTGGCGCACATATAGTGCCGCATTACTCCGTAAATATCCTAACGACGAGTGTGGGATCTGTCAGGGTTGTGGGAGTGTTTTCATGGCGGCAACGAAGAACAGAAGAACAGTTCGGGGAAACAGGAGGCAGATGTTCCATTTTTGTTGTTCAGTCTACAGACGTTTCTCCGTGTTTGAGAATAAGATAGGCTTTTAAGCATGCGTCCAGCGGACCAAATTCAGCATGAATCTCTGTCCGCGTCCGCAGGATGACAGGGTGAATTGTCGACGGCAATGGCTTACCTGTTGTATGGACTTAACCTGCACTTATTTACGTCAAATAAAACTACTATTAAGTCTACTACATGTCGACTGAGGAGACGCCGATGTGTCCAGTTGCTTCGTTCACTCTACGAAAATCAAACATGGATAATTTAAATAAAAGTGCTATTATGAGAAAGATCAACTTTCTACAACCGGTCGCCAAACGTAAGTCTTGGCGTATTTAACCCAGGGCAAGCTATCAGGTCTGCATGAGTCTACATGTTCTAATCGACTAAACATCTGGAAAATTCTGCGAAAATGTTTTAACGGGTTTCTGCCTACAAAGTATCTGCATCATACCAAAAAATCAAAATGGGGAGCGAATTTTTTGAACAAGTTTTGACGACTGCTCACAAAGCAGTTCTCTGTCCATGCTTATTGGATTATAGACATTTAGAATGATTCTTACTAGAAGCTTCGGGAAACATTCTTATGTCGAGTTAGCACATTCCTTTCCAACATCAGTCCTGTTTAAGCAAAAAATCTTTCTTTAAAAAACAGGGAAACAAACAGTTAAACACTCGCGTAAAATACCACAGAACCTTACATACGAGATGGCCTATACGGCAAACTCTAAAATTGTTTGTGGACTCACCCACCTCTCGTAAAAGTCCTCTTCCTAATGCTCCAATTTGATCTATTAATTTTTGGCCAAAATGTCAAAAATATAATAGATTTGTGATTTCCGTGCTCTAACAACCTACTTTTCAAAAAGGGCAGTTGCCAACTTCTTGATCTGACCATTAATTATCTAGGTTCATTCGCATTTATTCATTACTATCTGCTTCAGTCTGGTCGCAAGGGTAAAAGATTCAATTGGTCAGATTGAAAAAAACAGACCCGATGTATGGGAGGTCTATCACCTGCATGGTTTTTAATGCCCAATGGAACTTGCAGATTGACCGCTTCTTTCCGTTAAGCCCAAGCAATAAATGTATGTTCAAATGATGACCTTGTTAGTGAGGAAGCTGACCTTTGTGCTGGTTGGTAGTGGCAAACAACCTCCGTCGAACCGACAGCTTGCGCAGAACTTGCAGAATTGAACTGTAATGAAAGCACTTCAGATAGAATAGCTTTTGTGTCCTATATGCTACTTTTTAAACATCTTTACTTTCTCCAGCTGTCAAGCAGCAAATGACAGTAATTTACTTCTGCCTGAAATTCCGCAGTCTCAGAAAAAGCGTCTTTTGTAATTAAGAATCAAGTTGCGCTAAGCGCACATATATTCGTCTTACTATCTTTCCTACTGTCATAACTTAGTTACACGTCGAAGTCAACCTGATATGCGGTAAACGGCAAGTCCTCAGTTCGTATCTTAAAGCTGTTTTTTGTATGTGAGAATTTGTCTGAATTCGGAAACACACCCAAGAATGTTAATAGAATGGGCCAGCATTGTATTTAAAAATATTTAAAGAGACAAGTATATTACCCTTAATCGTCATTTTATGGAAGATCCGAAGCCGTTTAACAGGCAATCAGCCGACGCTTCCGGCTTGAGTCTCTGTTACGCACGTCTCCAGTGTTCCTTTTAATATAACTCGTTGACGTCGGCCTGGAAGCAAGGGAAAACAGTGATCGATGCATGGCAGTTCACGAGTATGCAGCCTGCCATAAATTGCGTGAGCCTGGTAATCATCTGGCGGATTCTGGGTGGATTACTTAGGAATTCCTGTTTGGGCAGTCAGCTTACTGCATCACATTTAGTGGATTCCATACGTCGCAGTAGGTTACGTTGGTAAATTTACCCAAATATGATTAAATTCGCGTCTCCTGGTGGTGTCACGTAGGTCAGGTGACTAGAGTGTTGGTTGTACTAAAGCCTTGCCCACCGAGGTGCCGAGTTTTTCACAGTTAAGTCAATATGAATTATTCAAAGCTGCCAAAATATGCATTGTTATTTCAAAATTTTTACGACTAGAATTATGAATTATCTGCATATTTTAAGGCACAAACGCTTTTGAGTTTTAATAAGTGATCGGATCTCAAGAACGAATACGAACATTCCAAAGATGGCGTCTTCTGCGTGCACTTTTCCAACGACTTCTTTCTAATTTTCCAAACGTCCACCTTTCCCTCTTTAGATACCTTCACGAAGACGGTTTTCTGTTTGGGATAAACACACTAGTCGATCTACTTAGCACAAGGCTTTGGGATCATACAGGTTCCTTCCCACGTGTGGCTCTATGCGACTTCGAGCTTCGTCGGATGGGCAGTAACCAACACCGATACACTATTCAGTGTGTCCTGCGCGTGAATATTTTCAACGAAAAGATTTACATATTTCTCTGGTTTTGGTTTCTCCTCATGTCGGCAGTCAATCTCCTCAGTCTCCTAAAATGGACCTATAGGTAAGAACATGCGTCATAAAGTACAGTAGTTAAGACGAACTCTGGAGCCCACACTTGAGTTGATATTCCTTGTTAGCATTTGGGATGATTATTTTAAAATGCAAGTTTCTCTGTAATAAAAATAAATTACTTTCATTTAAGAAGTAAGGACGCTTATTTGGCTTTAATTTGTGTGCTATCGTTACCAGGACATGAGCAAAACCCTGCTTCGGTCCACAACATATGTTTAAACGCTTTGACTTTCGACACTATCCTCTTGTTTCGTCTTGAAACGTGTCAGGCTAGTGCCGGAAGAGGATCATATCTTTATTCTATCTAACTATAGAGAAGGGGGTTGACATAGTGCAATCGCCAGTTTGGTTCACTATCCAAGATGCATCCACATTAACGACGGATTTGCTAACTTCTGCCCTTGCATCCACCCTAAAACGATGCGCGTGACTAAAAGGTTCAAGCGTATCTCGTAGGCTGATTTACTTTTTCTACTTAATCAGTTTCAGTAGCACATTATATTTGGTAGTTTGAAATTCCGACAATACGTCAGCCACCCGTCAGCAGACGATTCACAGAAATTCGTAATGTCTAGGCGAAGATAGTAGAGCCTTGGGGAACATTTGGCCTGGAGACTTATCCAAAAATTAATAGAATCGCACAGTCAACACTTGTTCTATAGACGGGATCCCACCGACAACACCCTTTTTGGGGCTCTACGTTTCCCATTTTCATTGTCAGTCTCCATGAAAATTTCTCTAGTAGAGTTTAGTCAGAAGGTATTGAACGAACTTGAGATGAAGTCAGCAGAACAAAACGAGTCATAGACCATGCAATAGCAAAAACAAGCTTTGGACTCCAAGCTGCTACCGGCGTTGGGAGTGGTGAAAACAATCGGTCTTACAAACCCATAAGTATGTGTATTGCACAGCTAAAGATAATTTTAATGGAAAGGCAAATTGTTATCCACGGGGAGAACGAGGATCCCAAACAGGCCTACGCCGACACCTCCTATCGAGATAAATCCGGTCATTGGTTCCATGGGGAAACGAAATTTAAATAAGCTGAGGAGTTCAGACATAGCCACCCCTTCACCTAGTCATGCCTTCATAGTCATTTTCACATAGTCAACCCAGACACGTAAGAGTCATTAGCCGTCTGCCGTTATGCGACTGTCTTAACAAAATAACGCAGGGGAAAGTGGAATCACTCTGAATTTTTTGTAGTCACTTTAAAGGTCACAAACAGGACAATGGTAACTCCCTGTGGGTTAATGGGAAGGAGTGAAAGCGCGTGCCAAAAAGAATGTGTGGGCCTGTTTTCTTCAAACGTTTACATTAGCCCTTTGCATTTTTGTAAATAAGAATGGCCACATCTTCTCAACCACAGTTAAAACTCTTTTCGCAACAGGATTCTCTTCAAGTCGGTGAGACTCGCTTTCGTCCGAAATCTGATCTGCATTTACCTAAACATCTCGATGACCGCAAGAAAACACTTCGACTTGAAGAGTGGACGGGTAGTGTCACTTTTGGATTGTATGTTAAAAATGCTGATTTTTAGACAAAAAACAAAGACAGTCAGAAATTTGCCGAGGACACCGAGCTGACAATGGCCGACTGCTTCAAGACACAAGCCGAAAAGGCCCAATCTAAGAGTTTTGTAGAAGACATTTTGGGTCAGGATGGCGTCCTTCTGCTGCGCTTTGTCTCCATGAATGTTGGTCCTGCTGCAGCCGCAGAAATTGCCGGTGTGTTTTGGACAAAATATGGCAAAAGTGTCAACCCCGACGTATTTTGTCGACTCGGTATGACCGCAGGGAATACGACTGGAACTACTTCCCCGCCGGTGCCTCCCAAAAGATCCACCATAGGAAGTACTCGGCAAAAACCCGAGGGAGAAAGCGGCGCATTTATTCCTCTGATAAATCTGGATTCTAAAACGCATGCTGTTGCCATAGACTCTGATCGTTCTTCAAGCTCCTCACGACCGACGGTGGAAAATCTTAATCGACGCAAACGACGTCACTATCATCGACGGAAAAGTAGCGTTTCGTACGACCAATATTCGCCTGCACCAGATCAGACTGATCAATATTTTTATGATCAGTATCCGGAAGAACAACAAGTGGAAAACGACTTGGATGACATATTAAAGTAAGAGTGGATTATGGGACTAGACGTACTCATATGCCAACCTTGCTTTATGCTTCCAGAAGTTCCCAAAGAGTGATCAAAAGTTTCTCCTCAAAGTAAATCTTACTTTATATGTTCATATCCTTCTCGCTACCGCTTTTGGAACAGAATCCGCAGATGCAATGGAGTCCGGATAGTCGGGTCCCTAACCGATTGGGCAAGCTGCCCACTTGAGCCAAATATTAGAAAAATAGAAACGGGTAGTGTGTAATACTGCGAACATATTCCGCCTATAAGGGCCACCATCTCACTTAATTTAATTGGTTTGCCCCAGATCCGAGTTCAGGAGAACAAGGCTGGAAAAATGATCCACATTTGGGCGAAACAATGGAGCAGCCTGTTTTTTGAAGTTAAGTCTAGTGGTCTGCATTTGATTGTTGTTGACGTGGTGACGTAGGGGTCAAGTAGGCACGCCAGCGAGGTGCATTTCTGGCGGTGACGCGTCATCCGCAGTCAGTTTGACGACTGACGGCGGCTAAAGCCACGAGGTCTTATGCGGCGGTGAGCGCCTGAGTGTACAATGGAAGCAGAGGTTTTAGTACCTATCGATAGGTTTACGCTGTTGATTAAGCTAACCCTGTGTCGGTCAGTCTGTTCACGTATGCACTTCATCCGCTTGTGAGCATTTAAGATACCAAGGAATGATTTAAAGCTAGTTTGTAAAATTGCTGTAGTGAACCACGACGACTAAACACTAGCCATCGCCATTTGGATGATGGGATAGGTTTTCAACCTCGAATATAACATAACATCAAGACAAACTATGGAGGCAATCAAGAATACTTTATAAACGCCAAGGAACGTTCTAAAATCAGAAACGTGATGGTCAGTAATCGGATGTTGAAAAAGGTCCTAGTTAATGGTTTTCAATTGCAAATCCGGAGGCGTGGGCCAGGGAGTTTTTATCTAGTGTGGTCGAATAAACGCATCTGCATAAAACCCAGGGCCAATCTGCCCTATGTTTCCTTGTTTTACTACATTGTAATCAGCCCGACAAATATTTTTCAAGTGTTTTCAAAGGTTGAACTAGAAGTGACTCCTGTCAGTTTATTGAACTAGGGAACCACAAAGCTAGCCCTTCATATATTCTTCAAAGTAACTTGTAAGTTTCATTTGAATTCAGTTTGAAAAAAGAGTTTTCAAGACCAAACAATTCCGATGGCCCCAAGAAACAAAACTGCTTAATATACCATTTAAGTCTTTATTTTTAAGTTATTACTGGGGAGGAGGTCCGTGCAAATGTGAGAATGTTATGATTCTGTCCAGAAAAAGGTTAAATGGAAAGGGAGCGGAAATTTCTTTTCTCCTGTCGATCCTGGAAACTGTTACTGGGAAGGAAATCAGGAGTGAAGTAGAAATGCAAAAACAAAGGGGGATAAACATGAAAAGGAAAACAAAACTAAGGATTACATGCAGTCGCAGGGGTTGCAGCAATTTTATAGCTGAAAACAAACAAGCAAACTCTTGCTCGAAAATCCGGATGAAGAGTGAGTCGTTGATACTCCTTGTGGTGATATCCCTGGTTTAAAATATGCAAAGAATCTGCATTTAAGAAGTGAGTTATTTGCGTTAGGCCGTCGGACCACGAAAACAATGACTATTTTTAGCAAACAATTCAGTAAACGACAATTCCATTGCTCCAGCTATAAGACTGGAAGTTGCCACTTTGTTTCTGACAATTAGCCTCAGAGGAGCAATATGGTCGGCGAAAGCAGACCGATTAGTAGGATAACAATGCAGTCTGCAGTCAAGCGAGTGAGCGATCCTGATAAGCGTAGTCCTCATCGGTGGGAAAAAGATCACTCTCATGGACAATAAGGAAGCTTGCTCAAATCCACTAGAATCAGGTGATGATCAGTTATTCGAACAGGCCTCACGATAAAGTTGAGCACAAGGAGGTGATTCCATTGGTCGAGTACCTCCACAAGCGGCTGACTGACAGCTCTTAATTGATTTTTCAAGTGACCAAAAGGCTTAAATCTCGGGTCGTAGTTGGGTTATTTGTTGCCTCGACTTGCAGTCTGACAGTCAAAAAATGTGTTCGATGTAGAAACATAATTTCCTCCTAGACAACTAATCCTTATCCCAGGACTCATTGAGCATAAATTGCGAAATACGACATTCACACCGTCCCAGCGTCAAGATTACACGTCAAAGTAAATTAAGGCCCTGTAAAAACACACTAACATTTACGCATATACGTTGGACAAGACGAAAAATTTTGAGCGGTCATTCCTGATATGCTCATGCGATCTTCAGCCACAACCCAAACCCACTTAATGCAGAACTAAGGATTTGATCTGAAGAAAGGCAAAACCGGTAGCTTGTTACTTGCCTCAGTCTGATTACTGCGTTCGCTTTCGAGAGAACGGAACCATCACAGTAAAATATAGAAAACTGTGCACTGTAATATCTAGAGAGTTTGTGGCATATTAGCTTAACCAGGAGATCAAATAACCTGCAAATTCTAGGCACTATAAGAAGCATCGGAAGCTGAACAAGTAGCTTTTTAACTTGACCTCGACAGTGTATGCGCATGAAAACGAGGTGTACACTCAGTCAAGTAAGCAACTAGCTTGAAGCACTGAGACGGGCTTTTGGAGAGCGTCGACCCTCGTGGAATCTTTTTACTAGGACTTTTGAGGACAAACGTACCCAAGCTGTCTGCTTGAGGTTACCTTCCTTAGAACTTCGGTTCGATGGAGTCTTACAATGGGACAGCGGTGGAAAACCAATATACTTGCAAACTACTTTAGTAATCATTTTACAGTGTTACCATCAGGCTCACCGATATGTTACTTGACAGTCGGTGTGACAGAATGACAACATAAGTTCAGAAAGCCATGTGAGACACACTGCCACTCCTCTCGAGAATATCGCTCATTCTTCAAATGTGGACAGCCGAAAACAAAAAACTACTTTTTTCCAAGATCTTTTAACGGACGTAAGACCTACTCTTTTCAGAGGATGAACTTCAGACTCACTCAAGACTTTAGAACCGAACTTTGGTTTCTGCACTCAGCCCTTCCTAGGTAAATATCCGCAGTAGGCTGCCTAGGGTTAGCCCCGAAGTTTGGCTTCTCAAATGGCTGGAGGCCTGACTGAGTTACCCTTCCCCACCATCAAATGAAGACTGCGTATTGTCAGTTCCTTACTTTTGCGCGGCCCGTCTCTCTGATGCAATGAAGAAGATCATGGAAACATTTTTAAGGAGCAATTTTCTCCACACGAAATTTTACTAACTCATTGCACCTTGAGAAGTGGGTTTCTAGAGACCATATCTCACGAGTTGCCGGACAACAGCGATGCTCTTCAGGTGTTTATGTAATGATCATTGTTATTTCTCGAAAACTGTTTTGAAGTGTACTTTTATCAGTCTGCCTCATATATGCTGATTAAATCACAAGCCTAAGCTATATGCGGGGTCACAATTACGCCTACGAGGTCGCAATTAGGGTTAGAATATGAATTGGCTAAGGCGACATTGCGGTAATCACACAGAAACATGTCCTCGCAAGTAATCCAGACTAAAACATCAAATTTATCCCACACACGGCGTCTGAAGAGGAGATCATAACACGTGTCCACTCCGCTGCAAACTAGGTACTATTGCTTTTGCTAACACGGAAACAATGGAGCAGTTCCCATAAATTACAGTAAGCTAATCTAACGGAATTAATAATTCTAAACAATAGCCTTCGTTTGGTCGTCATTCAAACGCCGCTTCCTAGTGTCGGTCCCATACGTCCGGTGCTACAATCAAACAAATCGTATGGTTTTAGGACATATTGCATAACCGTTCACTTCGGCAGCTGTCAAATAGAAAAAGGCCTGGGAATCTGGACTTCTCTGATCTTGAGCCGATAATACTACATGCAGATCCACGCAAAACTTAGAGGCTGCTTAAAACGATGAATGAGGTAAAACCCAGCCAGTTACCTCGACTATTCACAAAACTAACCTCCGAGGACATCCCTGCGAGCGCGCATTAAGTGTGGCGACTTACTGGCCAAGTAGGCGATATACACGCAGGGGATTCTTAACATTTGGAATGGACGATATGAGAAGGTAGGTCCAGCCCACAAATGCCGCCTACCTAAGAGGCGCCGTGACTGCATAAGGGATTCCGCTCACTTTCTCCGAGTCTACGAAAACTGTGTGTTGTCCACTGGACGGCATAATACCAGTCGTTACTTTATGCACCCGTATATTTTCTTCGCGTATCATCCTTCCAATAACCCGAGAGCTTTATTATTTTGTCCCATCTGCGTACGCAGGTAGTAAAACACAAATTTTCCGCAGCTATTAGACTGCGACTGGTAATATATTTAAGACATTCCTTGTATTAGAAGCATCCTTCGCTCAACTGTTGTTTCACAGTCTTTTTTCCGCAATTGCTCTAGCCTTATTTTTGATTGTTGCCCATTCCTGCAAACCTGTCCTGCAGCATTTAACAATTTTCAGCAACCCACTGTCTGACTTAGGACCAGTCCAAAGCCAAAACCACGGTATGATTCCCCGTATTTCGGGAACAGCGGACATTCTTCTTAGCAATAACTGGACAGCAGTGAACATTCTTGGGGAAAAGTGACTTACATCCAAAGACAATTCTAGTTTAAAAAAGCCAACATCCTCGGCCGAGTCCACTTGTGCACTCCTACAGGGAAAGCTAAATGATAATTACACTATGCTTCGCAATAGCCAATGAAAATCAATCCCTCACTACCCGTTTTGGTCCAACACATCTCCGTTCTGTCCCGCCAAACGGGCACATGATTTAATTTCAAGGTCAAATGACACGTGGTCATTTTTAACAAGGATGTAAAAATATTATTTAATTCTCTCGCGTTTTGTGCTGTTCAGATACTTTCGTAACTGTTTTCGTTTTCCCTCACCGATCACGACTACAGTAAAGGACTAGAGGAGTTCAGGAAAACAAGTTATAAAGCGGTCAGTTCTCAGAGTGAGCGCTGAATTTGTGTTGCAACTGATATCAGTCTCGATAAACAAGCACTTGGTGTCCTGTCCCACTCAATGCGCTCGTTGTAACGGGGTTTAGACTGGCACATCGAAAAGGAAACTAAGACAAAATTCACTAGTTCAGTGGTACGTTCACTCTTTTCCATCACCGTTTTGGCGGTCTAACGTGAAAAGCAAAGGGGATTTTTCCAGAAACTCGGATCGATCTGACTATACCCACAGTGAACGGACAAATACGCCGGTTTAAAAATTGCCAGCCTTCCATATCACAATTAATCTGCAGACGCTTTTGGTGGATAGATAGTCAGAATATTCCGACACCTAGGGTAGAAACCTCATAAGTAACTGCTATGCTGCCTTCGCATCAAAAACTTAACGGACAGTGTGCGGTAGAAGGGGGCAGTTAGGTTTTGGCATATAAAACGACCAGCAAATTATTCACATTACCACTGTATCGTGGGGTTTTTGGAACTGTTTCGATTTTCATTGTAATTATGTCGAACTAAAACATCAGTGTGTTAAGTACACAATTAAGACAGGTATGTTTGCATCACAGACTGTGTGGGTAAAATTGTCGCGAGAGAATTGAGCCAGGAGATATGATATCTGCGAAGATGCTCTATGGCCGAAACTATCACCCATAATTAATTACATTCCCTTATACGTTTTCACTAATTTATCGTTTTGGAATCCATATGGGTCGTGAACTCCTGTTTTAAACTCTGCTTTGAGTGAGTAGTAGAGTTATGACGAGACCCAAGACCTGGAAAATGCAAAAGGTTTCAACTCACCCGGGTGTCTGATGTTGATCATACGGACGTCGATCAGGACACATAACTGTGTTCCTCTAAAGTAAATTAACATGATAGTAAGTGCGAAGCTTACCGATGGTGTTGGCTGCGGAAAAACCTTACTTGACAAACTTTGGTTGACGTCTTTTAGGTCAGACTCGACAATTTCTTCTGTTACTGGAGAATACTGTTGGTGAGTAATGTCGCCAGCGAAAAATGCTCCCCGGTGTCCGCCTATGGTATCTTTTCCTTCAGCAACAATGGCATCCATCAATTCTTCAGCGATATTTGATGATATGTTGCCGGTAGGCAGAACGTGTGCCTCAAAACATTCACTGTGTGATCGTTTGTGAATTTGAAGAGGACATCCACTAGTCGGTTAAAAATCGTGAATTCGGGTCACAAAGACAGTTAGACATTAGCATGTATTTTTGAGTAAAAATCTAAAACACAAGCTGGTAACAGCAAACGTGTGTAAGCTACTGACTCGTCGTTGTAACTGGTGACAAATAACCTGGGGCAAGATCAAGAAACTTAAATTCATGACAGTGCGTCCTACGGTGTAATAAGGGTCGAAATAATTATCCTATTTGCATAACGCAGTTTCCACATTAAATTGAAACGTTTAGGTAACGCATAAAAATCATCCGGGGCGTGTTTTGGTTCTTTCTAATACAACTTAGCTTTATGGAGCAACTAATGGAAACGCATTCCTGATTTCCAAGCAAGATCCCTCTCTCTCTTCAAAGGCATTTTACATCCTTCGAAAGTGGTCAGCTTACACAATTCCTTTTCCTTATCCCTAATTTCGCAATTAACATAACTTATACGCTGAAGGTACAACAGTCGATCTCCATCCATTTTCTCACCTCCACCATATTCCATTTACGGACTTATATACGCTGAATCCTCTAAACTTATCAGTTCGCTCGTTGTGGGGATGTTTTACCATATTTCCACTTCCACAGCAACGGACGAATAAGTATAAATCTGGAGCAATGTAATGACAGCGCACAACGTGCACATTTCGCGTCCGGCAGCTGATTTTAAACAATAAAAAAGATGTATGAGAATCTAATAATTCCATTTATTTACTCATTTTCAGAGTGGGTATATTATTTTTGTTGTGACCATCCGTGTCTGGGTCGAATTAGGTTTCCGTTTCGCTATAACCAACTACGGTAAACTGGATCTCAAGTAGTGAGCACATAGCACTTCTGGGAATAAAAAAGAGTGGGCCTCGTGTGCCATAATGAAACCATTCAGTTGTTGGTGACTGAGCAGTTAATGTTGCTCATGTAATTTTATGTTAAGGGACTTTTATTTATTTCTAAAATTTGCCAGGGACTATGTAATGTGAAACTCAATAGATCTATCTGCGTCTGTGAGACAGTCAGGTCACCTGGTCTGTTGGCGATCGTACTTCAGCGAATGAACTGTTTTGTCGAGTTCCTGCCTCTCAGCAAAAGCAAACTTTACAAAAAACATTAACATAATTTCAGGTTTTACCACAATCTCATCTTGTAAGTCCTTCATCCGACATTCCACGACTTCGAATTTCTCTTGAATCTGGATAAAACGTTAATTTTCTAGGAATGAAGGTGTGGGTACCGATTCAACCTTTTCTTTGAGAATTTCAACCTTATTATCGAAAGCTGACAACGTTGCCTGCACAAAAAATGACAAAGTAACAAAATACCATCTGCCTTATTTGTTCCTCCTGTGCACTTTCAAGACAAACGTACTGCGATGAAGCAACATTTTGGAAATGTTCTGCCTGAAAAACAACAAAAACACGTCATGCCCAGTTGAATTAACCCAGCAACAAACCATTCCACAAAACCTGTAAATATGTTCCAATAAAAGTTTAGTGAGGATAATAAATATTTTTAAGTGTACTTCTTTAGTTTTTACTAGGTTGCGGGTTCGAACATATGTTTTATTAAATTTCGCCCAGAGTACATGACACAGACTTAAAGTGCACGGCAAAATAATCAACGCAATGGCCTTCACATACCCCATAGAAAAGCATTTTTGACTCACCGAAAACTAGAGGCCTTGCATATACCCTGCTTTGGTTATCAACCAATTTTCGATCCCAAATCTAATGTTCGCGATCTCGACTAGATATTGTTCGTCGAGGACATTTTCTGCAAAGTTAATAGTCGTAAGTTTTCCTGTCACTATACGCAATAAAACGTTGCTGGAGTTTTGGCTGGCCCTTATTATTCCGCTGCCACGTCCATTTTTGGACTCGAAATAGTCAAGGTCACTCAACTACATAACTAATGCTTCTGTTGCGAAGCCATGTCGTTCAATCTCAGACGCATTAACTTGCAGTGTCTTTGCTTGATCGTTATGAGTCAAATCATATCTAACTCTAAGAGTTTGGGCCTTTATAGCAATTAGGGTACGAGAGAATATATTATGCTAATTATATTTAATGAGCGTGATAAATGTCTCAAGTTGCGTCTGGTTCAGATCAATTCTTGTTTCTCAACGTCCAGAAGCCTGGACGCAGCGTGAAAATTGGGCATTAATTTTGAAAGTATTTTAACTCGTATGACAGAAGGAACTGAAGAGAGAGTTTTCCATCCGTAAGGCCGGCAAATAATTCGATCATATTGTTCGGTGCAAATGTTTTAATTTAAAAATACATCCTAAACTTAGCGTTCATACGCACATAAGCAGTGAAATTTATCTAAAGACTCCAAGTTACTTCTGCCCGATTGAACGTCCTTACTATACAATATAACTTGGAAAAAAATAAACCTGTTAAATCTACTTTGCAAATTGCAAATTTCGCTGATTTATCTACCGTCATCTTAAAATTCTTACGTCGCTTGTTTTGCGATTCCTATATCTAATATATGGAGATGGATAAAGTAATCAGTTTTACTCATGTAACGCAGGCAAAATACGGAGAACTGTACATGGAATAAGTAAATGCATCCAATAAGTATATTCCTTACTACACATTGATACAATGTCTACGAACGTTAAATACTTTACAATTTAAAGTAGTCTACATACCTTTTCCTTAAGAACCGTGCATTCGTACTCCTTTGTAGAAAGTTTCTCCTCTAGCAGATGACCTTCTTGTTTCTGATCTTTAAGTCGTGCAGTCAAATCATGGACTTGTTGAGATTTTTCGGCAACTACTTCTGAAAGCCTCCTATTTTCGTCCCTTAATTCCGACGCTCTATAATTTTTCCATATTCCAGGTTATCCAACAAATAAAGAGACAAGTTCGTAGTTGAGCAAACTCATAAAAAATTGAAAGTTAATTAGACGACATGTGGTGGGATATTTGGTAATTTTGCAGACGAATTTAAAGTTGTAATATCTACGTATAGCACACAAGGCTTCGAGAAACCCATATTATTGACAGTCTTGATGTCGCAGTCACTTTTTCTGACTTTATTTAGTAGGAAGGGGTATCGAGGAACATTTTATTTATGTGCACTGTGATTTTTCGACAGCGTTTGAACGCGATAAAGAATTTATGGGCTTATCAATTGCTTCCAAACGCAAGTAATCATTAGGATGCCAAACAGTTTCGCCTGTAAAAGGTGTTCACATGAAAACATGACATATAAATCATCGTATCTTTACCTATTTGGATTTCCCAAACTGCTCAATAAAGAAGACCTGGGAAGTTAATATAACCTCTCAGTCGGATATACCTAGATCATGCCTTAGTTTTTAATATTTCCACTAGTATCAATATTTGTCTTCAAGTTTCCGAGGCTACGTACATTGCTCTCATAACGTGAAGCTCAAAGTCATTAATCATGGCAATGAAAAAAACGATCATTAAGTGACCGACTCCATGTAAGTGTTGCGACTAATGATTTTAACGTAACAATTGTTGATAAGAGATTTCAAAGCCTGTCCCGTTTCTGGATTCAAACGCAAAATGTGTGTTTCGAACTGGTTTATAAACGCAACTTTTCGGATTTCTCGGACATTGTCAAGCTCCGAAGCATAAGCACATCTAATATTTACACTTTCATGTAAAAAACGGAAACAGTGCTGAACTTTCTGGTTTCAATTATTCTTTTAACAAATGGCACTAATACTGCCACAAAAATAGTGATTTCAGATGTATCCTTTCGACAGAAAAGCAAAACGCGCATTTTGCGTTTTGATGTTTCTCTTCATTGCCTATGCATGTGCTCGCAAATTTACATTACGCACAATATGAAGCTTGACTTTTTAAGATCCCATTAGAATAAGGATAAAGTGGAGCAACGTACGTACAGCAAGTTATCTTTAGTTAAGTTCTCAATTTGGTATGTGAGTTCATTGTAAGCCTGCTCCGAGGTTTCTAGCTGAGCCTGTAGTTGGTCATTTTGTCTCAGTAGCTTTTGCTTATCGAATTCCAGTTGGCGAATATAATTATCCTCGCTATAAAATCAAAAAACGGTCGTAACTTAAACAAAAGTCTACCCAGAACCAAATAGAGCTACAGCCTCAGTGTAAGGGCGATTTGTAGTGGAAGAAGTAGAAAGTTCTTCGAGTTCATCGAACATGTTTGTACTATATTTAATCATCTTATTTGGAAGACCCATCTTGACACAAGTTGACGCGAAAACAGCAAAAGGTCACCGATGAAAATTATTTAAGCCGCCATCCCAAAAGGCGCTTTTAGTAGTTTAAAAGCATTGTAAAAAGTCGACATATCCAGGAGTGTTTAGATGGTGAAAAACTGTATTACAACACACGAAAGTAAGGAATGCAACTGAATCTAAGCTACTAATTAGGAAGCGTAGCAGACCAAATATTATAGGCCAAAGTAGAATGCGTTGGCCCGCAATGTTCTGTATTAGGTCCTCCTGACCTATGTCAATATTTACCTCAGCGAATCGGATTTTAAGGCTCTCATATTCGCAGATTACAGTAAAACGTGAAATAAAGCCAGCTATGTTGATGACGCAAAGACGTTGCAATCGAACATCGACGAATAGAGTGTTTGTTCAAACAATTCCCTGTGCCCAAATAAGCGGCCCTAAGCTTGAACACTGGCCGAGACGCCTCTCCGAAACATGAGTATTATATTAACGGGACGGAAATAGAAAATGAAGGAAAGTCTGTTGCATCGGATTAGATAAGCGTTTACAATAACTGTTCCTGACCTCTCTCGATGAATTTTCAACGGTTCTGTGAGACGCCATCTGGAATACAAAATTTAAACAGCTAATCTTAATAATAATAATAATAGTGTATTTTAGGGTAATAGGCAATGCCCTTGATGACCCTATTAAAAACGGTTCATAAAATATAAATGTTAAATATACATTGTACTAAAATTTTGTCAGTAGCATATTTGTTCACGGAAACCTTTTTCACAATGCGGGACTGCGAAGGATGCGGCAGGCGGTCTTCTCAGTGTATATATGAAATTTTAAGTGCAGTTATATACAAACAGTATAAAGTGCAGTCATTTGCATAATTTGTGAGGGGAAATTTCATTAAAAGTCGGGGGTGTGTTACGTAGGGATGAAATCAAAAATGGAACTTATGGCGGGCCGCAGATAGTCCTGTTCTGAGTCGTCCTTTATCAAAGATCAAACGATCCAGCTGCCTTTTGAATACAGGGATTGTATCAGATGTCACTATTTCACTTGGGAGTGAGTTCCACGGTCGAACAACACGCTGGCTGAAGGAAAACTTCCGATTGTCTAGGCATGTACGCTCCCGCTTGACTTTGTACTGGTGACCGCGCAGGTGACTCGTGGTCGTGAATTCAAAGAAGTCGTCAGTTTTGACCGAACATTAATGCCCGTGGATAATGCGGAATGTCCATAACAGGTCACACCTCATTCATCGATAGGATAGGGGGAACAAATTTAACTGGATCAGTCTTTCAGTGTAGGACAGAGTCCTGAGACCGTCCATCAGTTTTGCGGCCCATCGTCGCACCTGTTCTATGGCATCCCTGTCTTTATTCATCCAGGGCATCCATGATGGCATTCCGTATTCTAAGTGCGGTCTGAAGAACGTGCCGAATATCTGTGAGAAGAGTTCTGGAGGAAAGATTTTGAAGGCACGCCTAATCCAGTGCATGATGCTGGTTGTCTTTTGGACGACTCTTTTGCAGTGCTGAGAGGGCAGCAAGTTTGAGCATGTCCAGACACCTAGGTCTTTGCGCGTGTCCACTTCATTTAGTGGAACCCCATGTATGGTGTACTGATGTTTTGGGAAGCGTCTCCGTCCAGATTCTAGTCGCAAGACTACGCACTTGGATACGTTAAACGCTAGAAGCCACTTGCTGGACCACGCAGCCAGCTTATTAACATCTTCCTGTAGCTTCTGCGCGTCTTCAACGCACCTGATTGTTTTCCAGATCTTTATATCATCCGCAAACATGACGCCATCGCATTCAAGGTCTGCAGGACAGTCATTTATATAGATGAGGAAGAGGAGAGGACCCAAGACTGAGCCCTGCGGAACGCCGCTTTTTACTGGCACCCATTCGGATGCAGTGGTACCAACGATGACCTTTTGGAGCCTGCATGACAGGAAACTTTTAA